ACCTTCACACTCACCTCGCTCACCTTCACACTCACCTCGCTCACCTTCACACTCACCTCGCTCACCTTCACACTCACCCTTCATCCTGAACCTGCTCCACCGCATGCAGCGCCAGCCAGGACCCAAATATGGCAGCGCGTGGCCCTTTCGCTCTCTGACGCCTCTTCGACTTTCGACCACTTTCTCGTCCCCTCGCTTAGACAGACCCTCCCTCCTTGCCAATCGAGTAGTATATGACACGTTCATTACCCACCCGGTCGTGACTCAAAAAGCAGCATGTAAATTGCCCTGGATCCTTGCTCATGATGAGAATCTATAACCGTCGTCATCGACTCGCCATTCGCAGAAAGCAGATATGGGACTCAGAAATCAGCTCGAAACCACATTGTTTTACACTGCTCCCAGATCCACTGACCTAAACGGCAGCGGTCGGGTGCAGGTCTAGGTTCACGATTGTTTGAGCACACAGTTCATCACAGTCCCTCGAAGAGAACAGGGCGTTACCTGAAGTCCTCACTACAGCTTTTGCTTGGAGAGGAGAAAGGGTTGAGGAGGGGATGAACCCTTGCTTAAATAGCTGCAAGCTCCCTAGGCGCGGGTACCGCCAAGAGGCCTCCCCGTCTTGGTCTTCGCCCCCACTGGCAGAACGCTAGGCAACCATTCGGTAGGAGTGTACGGGAACACAACTCTCACCGGCCTACTCCGAACCATTGTTTGAATTGTTTTTCCTTTTCGATTTCGGACGACAATTACTATACGCGGTAGAGCTATGCACCTTGATCTTCACGATCTGTCTCATGGACCTTCCCAGGTGGATCATCCTGGAAGACGGACACGAAAAGAAGAGGAGAGGAGAGAAGACGGAGCCAAGTGCACCGTATGTATCGTAGTTTATTTGTGTGAGAAGTGTCCATTGCTATGCGCAAGCTCTTCAGACTTGTCACACTTACACAGGTATTCCAGTTGTCTGATAGCAGCTCCGCCCTGTCGCCAGCTTTGCTCCCTGTTGAGAATAGAGGGAATTGTTTTGTGTCCACACGTTGCCCACCCAAAATGATGTCGGCATTAACCTCGAAGACACTCGTCTCATCGCTTGGGATCTGTCTGAGGGTTGATTCCTGGCGAGACGTCAAGTACGTACCCTTGACTCTAGTTGCTAATTGCATGCAGGAATTGATGATGCATGGAGCCCACAACCTAGACTCGAATGTCAGCAAAGTTTCACAAAGGAAGGAGCTGCTGAACGGATACTCGGACGGGATGAGATTGGGGATTGACCAATAATGATGTGTTGAAGAGCCAACAGGAGGCTTTGGACAGATCTTGGCTTCACCAGCATGCTGGCTACTGACACTCCGCACCACGAGAAGGTGTCTGTCCTTTGCGGAGCAAAAAAGTGCCAAAAATTGGTGCCACTCTCCCAGTCGGGTTCACCGGGGTCCACGCGCGACGCGGGCTGGGCTGGTGTGTTTGTCTTCTCGGTATAAGCAATGTAGTGAAGATTTCAGGCCATAGGTAGCCACCTTGCGGTGGACGAACCTCACCCTGTTCTTTTTTTTCCTCATCGAGGCACACCGGTATGGAGAGAAGAAAAGAAGAAAGAAAGAGTGAGAGGGAACGAAACGCAGATAACTTCTCGGCACCCAAGTGAGAAGGAAGGCGCGAAACCAATACACGTTACGCAATCTGAGAATTTAGGAAAAAGGCAGGTGCACCACCTACACCCAAGGTTGAGGTCAACCTTAGGGCTCCTGAACAAGCAATGCGAACTTGGAAAGGAATTGAGGAACTTCATAGCAGCAAAAGTTTCGTCTTATTAGCACACCACCGCACGGGCACAACTGGGCTTGGATAGCCTTCGTACTGCAATTTCCATCATTGCAAGCATCATCACTCATGCTGTCGTGATAACGCTCTTCTGTGACCAACTTTGCACTACTGAGGCCAATTGAGCATCGTGCTTTTACATCGTTCTTTTGCACAGTACTTCAGAACAGCCAAGAAGTCGAATAGCCAGACCACGTCGCCAATCTGAAGATGTGTACAGTACTGGATCAGTTGTCTCAGTTCTTCCTGCAGCAACACCAATCCACTTGCCTTCACCCCTTTTCCCTCTTGGCTGCCCAGGCTGTGCATTCGCAGCGAATGACTCTTGACCACGTGTTTCTGAATCAGAAGGCTTTCAACTTTTTGGGTCTGTCCAGGTGTTGATGGCATCGCCCAAGGCCGCGGACGGCCCGCAATGCTGAGGTGAGGCTACGGAGAGCGGGACAGGCTTCATGTCCCTACGAGGAACTTACTGGATGGAAGGCGACGTCCTGATAACTTTAGGCGGGTAGACGATAGACAGTGCTATACAGGGAACTCAGTCAAGCCGTTATGCCGCGTGTCGTATTCAGCAACCAGATTGCGATAGCATTCAAGCCATGTTGTTGTTGTTGTCACTGGGCCAAAGGGAAAGAGGTATAGAGTATAAGTGAGTGCAGCACGAGGCTGCAGTAACGGCAGACATCTTCACAGCCTCGAGCGCTTCAGCTGCCAGGCGCTTAGGTAGGTATCATTGCTTCGAGCCTTGTGTAATATGGCGGAAGGCTGACTCAACGGTGCGGGTGGAGAAATCCTACTACAAAAAATAGCTGTCAACAATATCCAATACATTTCTTACGGCAAAGCATCTCTATTCTCTTCTACGGCCGACTCGGGCAAGGGAGCAAGCTGATAGATGCTTGTATCACGTGAGTCACCGAGTTCGCACCCGATTCGGGTGAGACGGGGGTGAGCACAGGGCGGCATCACCTCTTCCGAATTGGGGGTGAGTTTGGAGCCGTTTTTACTCTGCTTGGCAATTCAATCCCAGTCGCGTTTCTCCAACCGTGTTCAGATCGCCGGCTGGCACTCAGCCAAGGTTGCCAGGTATCATGACAGACAATCTCATTGCACTCATGACAGTCTAAAGCAAGGCTGGTGACGTCTCACACGATCGTCGTCTTCTTGGAGCCCATCTTCACATCTTCCTTTGACCTCCGTCGTCATGCATAGCGCTCTGAATCGACTCCAATCGACCTTCGGGTATTTTACAAGCTGCGCCTTTACCCTCGCTTGCATTATCGCCGTCCTCTCGATAATACCCTTCCCTGCTCCGACGGGCTCGCCCAGCGCCTCAATATCAGTTCGAAACGTCCAGGTCGTGAAAGGCCGCCCGCACTATTACTCTCCCAAACGCGAAGAGTACGCTCAAATTAGATTCGATCTTGAGGCCGATCTATCCAGCCTATTTACATGGAATACGAAGCAGCTGTTTGTCTATGTCACGGCCAACTACCCTGGCGGAAAGGGTGACACCCGGGGGATGTCTGAAGCTGTCATTTGGGATACCATCATCACCGCAACACCCACCCCATGGTCCTGGCAGAATCTGAAGCAAGCCTATTTTCCCGAGAAGAAGTCAAAATCCAAGAGCAGGAAGAACTCAAACACAAAATCCAAGACGAAGGATCTGGTCAAGCCAGGCGTGATTTCCTTGAAGAACCAGAAACCAAAATATCAAATCACTGACCCCAGCGGTGTTATCAGTGAGAGGAGCAATGCTACCCTGCAAGTCAGTTGGAACGTGCAGCCTTGGGTCGGCGCTCTGGTGTGGGACAAAGGATATCTGGGCGACAGAATCGGCAAATGGGCACCTGGCGGTGTGGGAACAAGTGAGACCTTCGAGTTTCCTCCTTTGAAGGGGGCAAAAACAGATATTGTCAAAGACACTGAAGGACCGAGAACTCCAAAAGCTGGATCAGCCTCTCCGGTTGTCGAGATATAATGCAATGCGTTTCCGATACTTTTCGGTTCTTCGGCAACTAGAACATCTCATACGATATGAGCTGTGAAGCACTCTTCGGGAATCGACAGTGGAGGGATTGACACAAGAATTCTCAACTATGACCCAATGAGGGAATCTCAATTTGTGCCCTTCAGTATTCTGGCAACGACTAGTGCTTGAAATTATTTCAGCCAGTTCTTGTTCCTCATTCTCCGATGTGTGTGCCCTGACTTCCATGAACATTCTGGAGTGGGATTTGGCTGAAATGAAGACGACATTTTTGAAAGACCAACGTCCGCGGTCGTCCGCTGACACTAGATATAGGATCGCCATGCTCCCTCATGCAGGACCCAAGCTCACGACCTAACTTCATTCTCGGAGTCGGGGCCTTATGCCGACAGACGGCTTTACGCGGTACGACCTGGATCTTAAGTCCTTCCAACGCGAGCGAGCCAATCAGCTGAGACTGACTTGTTGCGATCCGAACCGATGCCTGTTACAGTCGGTCCGCCGTTTTCATGCGGAGCGAATCAGAACGTATATACATTTCATGGCACAGAGAGCCTCAGGAGTATTTAATCGAGGTCGACAATTTCACCAAGACCAACCTCGCGCAAGGTCGGCGCACATTCTTCCTCCAACATGTCCCTGAAATACACCAACAAATTGCAAGGCAAGCGAGTGGTTATTGTTGGGGGTACCAGTGGTATTGGATTCGCCGCTGCTGAAGCAGCTGTAGAATATGGTGCAATTGTGGTGGTGGCCAGTTCCAGGCAGGAAAAGGTCGACAGGGCTGTTGAGAGAATCCAGAAAGCGTACCCGAGCGCAGGAGACCGTATCCGCGGCAAGACCGTCGACTTGAGCTCGGACGACGTGGAGGAGCAGATAGTGGCTCTTTTCGACTTTGCGACTGACGGCGGGAAACACAAATTACACCATGTTGCAGAGACAGCTGGCGGAACCTTTGGGGTGATGCCTCTTGCCGACGTCACGCCAGCGGCCACTGCAGAAGTCTACAAGGTCCGAATCACCGGCTGCACGATGCTTGCAAAGGTCTCTATGCGATACCTCGAGAACAGTCGCACCTCTTCTTTTACGTTGACCAGTGGAGTGAGCGACGCCAAACCCACTGCTGGATGGACGGTCATGGCTCCCATTGGAGCAGGGAAGAGAGGGCTGACTCACGCTCTCGCCAACGATATGAAACCTATCCGCGTCAATTGCGTTTGCCCCGGCGCCGTCAAGACGGAACTGTTTGATAGTTTTGGGGGAGAGGGACTGCGGCAAATCTTGGACTTTTACACGGCCAGGTCGTTGATCAACACCATTGGCGCCCCCGAGGATCTGGCGGAGTGTTATCTTTGTGTCATGAAGAACAACTTTATGACTGGGCAGGAGATTACTGCGGACGGGGGGTTTCTGCTGTGCTAGTTGAAGGGGTGAAGCAGACATGTGACTGGAGATACAGATGCATTGATACAATGCCGTGGGAAGAACTCTTCCGTTCCACCAGCTTTGCCTGTATGACTCGTATTTATCAACCCTCGCTTGATAGAGCCATCCGCAGGCCCAATGATCTCCAAATGGGGGCCGAGATACGAGTGTGGCGTCTTGCACCCAATCGCCACCCTGGGCGTAGCGGCGTGTCGTGACACCGTCGATCAGGCTGACAGCCTGACTGATATTATGATTATCAGACACCGCCTTGTCGATTTGCTCCCCTCTCAATTCAACTCAACTCAAGCCATCGACCAGACGACTCCTGTGGCCTTCGCGATGGACATCTGGGTATAGCAGCCACTCGATTGCACCATGAGTAACTGGCTGAACCGAATCCTCTCCGAGCCCGTCTCTGCGCCTGCGGTCCCCAACCGGCCGGACGCTTCGTGGCCACAAACACCGCTGACTCCACGGACGGCAGCACGGTTCAGGGACCGCAATGCCCCGGACTACCGCTACCAGGTGAACCAGAAGTGCATCTACGAGCGACGGCTGCCGGGCGGGTCGTACATCACGGCGCACGTCCAGCGCCTGCAGTCGGGCTTCTACGACAGCCCCGTGATCCACGAGGACCGTATCGACAACGTGCGTTTCGTGGCCATCAACTTTGTCTTCCACCCCAGCTCCAGCACGTTCCGCTTCAAGTCGGCCGAGATCAACATCGCCCTCCACCACACGGGCGAGGACGACAAGAGCCCGCTCCAGGTGGTCGCCGGCCTGGCGCCCAAGACCAGCCACGACCACGGCACGCAGACCGAGACGGTGAGCAATGCCCTGGTCAAGAGCAGTGACTGTCTGCACGCCCCGGGCTTCAAGCCCTCGCGGCCCAAGTTCCTGCGCCACGCGCCGCACCTGCTCTACGGGAGTATCTCGCCCGAGACGTTGAACTGGAACTTCAACCTGGCGGGGTCTCTGGGCGTGTCTCAGGGCCCGGCCAGCGCGAGCTTCAAGCCCTCCTACGGCGTCAAAAGCAGCTACAAGATCTACGAGATGATGAAGATCCAGGGCTCCGTCCGCACGCTTCGGTCGTGGTACGGCCGCGAATACGACATTGAGGACGGCGAGCTGGTCTGGACGCTGGAGGAGAACAAGCTGCAGAAGTCCGGCTTGCCGCGCGAGTTCACGTTCGTCATGCTCCTCACCAAGGGCAGCGGCGGGTTCGAGCAGAGCGGCGACGTCCGGCTCGAGCTCGACGTCCACCCCAAAGTCACGGGCAGGCTGGGCGCCGCGTACCCGTCGCTCATCACGAACCTGCACCAGTATCAGCCCTTCAAGAGGGAGGTGCTGGACCTCGACGAGCAGGTTGGCCAGGTGTTTGAGCCGCAGATCAAGGGCAAGGGCTTCAACTTCGCCAACATCGCGACCAGCCTCGACGACTTTGTCTGGCTGCCCGGCACCGCGTATTCGACTTCTGACGGCGGCGGCGGCGGCGGCAGTGCGTCTCAGTCGGGAACCGGGCCTACTGCCCAGCAGCAGACTCCTCCGCAGCAGAGGACCCAGCAACAATCCCAACAAGCATCGCAATCCCATCAGCAGCACCCGGGGGCGCAGCAACAGGGGCACCATCCGTCCGGAGACACGACACTCAATCTGAGAGTCTTCCTGGAACCCTCGCGTGGCAGCCCCGTGCCCTTTTCCACCCAGATCCAGCAACTCCCCTACGTGAACCTCAAAGTGCCGTCCCAGAATCCGTCCCGCGCACAGTCGCCTCTGCCTGCCCCGTCTTCCGTGACAGGCTCACGAAACTCGACAACGACCACCCGACGAACGATCACGATCGGCTCGTCGAGGTCGGTGCGCAAACGGCGCTCCCGCACCGAGCTGTCCAAGGAATACAAGTCATCCCCCGTGACAGCGACAGCGGCAGTGAACGAAGACGGGATAGAACGCCGACACTCTGCTGCCGGCCAGGCCACATTACTACGCGGCCAGGGACCTGCTACAACCCCGGCCACACGGCCCTTTTCGTACCAGGGGGGAGAAGACGTGGCTCAGAACAGCCATGCCCACGCCCACATGTCGCCGTCGGCAAATCCAACCCAGCCGCCTCCGCAGGACGCTGTGTCCACGCCCGCACCCCGTCCCTCGAGCCCAGAATACGCCACCCCGCCTTCGTACCCGGACGCTCACCCACACCCGGACCTGCGTGCGGACAGCATGGGCGGCCTCGACGACGCGGCGGTCGAGCTCAGAAACCCGGACGGAGTCTGAACCCGAGCACTGATACACACGGTTGCAAACTAGCGCTAACCGCGCCGCAAGGGGTGTAAGATGTCAACTTCTAACACAAGCTCCCTTCCCCTTCCTCTTGACGAGACATGAATTACGATCCGTTTTGACTCCTGCTTGGACCCTAAGCGCCCAAGATGTTGATGGCTGGGATGGGATGACGACCCCGTGCGGATGCGCGTGCATGTAATCACAACCACAACCACGCATCCCAAAATGCACGGATAGATAGAACACGGGGGGGAAATACCCAGCCAGGTCCTTGGGGCTGCTCTGGTGAAATCAATATATACTAATATAGCAATCAACGGTCACAAATAGTAATGATAATGGCGGGTATCAGGAAGCGAATTATCAACAGTACATTTCCCAGTGGGCGTTAGTTTCCGTAAGGCTCAATGGCTTTGGGTAGCGATGTTTGATGGCTGCACCAACCCGAGTGGCATCTGGAGAAGGGGAATTGGAACGATTCAATCCTCATGGCAGATTCGAAGTCGATTCCACGTCCAGGGCACCCGCTGGCATCGAGGCTGGCGCTTTGCTGTCATGATGGCACAACTTCCCCCCTCAAGCGTGTGTCCATCAATTAAGGGTATCTGATTTCTCCAAGAATATACACATACATACATACATTCGTCACCCTCTGATCAATGTCCCTTCGTGCCGAGTCAACCCTTGTGACCGGGCCGGATGCATCCCTCAGGCGGGCGACATACTCATGGGCGCACCGTCTTCACCTTCCGACTCCCCATCTTCGTGCTCACGCTCCGTTATCCTCTCCGCTGGCGGGTCCGTTGCTCTGTCCGTGGTGTTCGCTGTGGGATTATCGCCATTGGCAGGAGGAGGCGGAGGCATGCTTCCTTTCAATGCTCCTTCGTCATCCAACCTGGCCTTTTTGTCGGCGACGGGTGTCGGATCAGGGAGACCGGCTTCGCGAGCTTTTCTCTTCTCCTTTTCTCGCACATACTCCTCTCGCCTCCGCTCCTTCTCGCGTTTGTCATTCTCTCTTCTATGCATCTTGCTCTCAAATTCATGCCAATCGCCCTCGACGTTTGCAAGCTCCACTGGTTGTTCCGGTAACGGCTCCTCAGATGTGAAATACTCGTGATTGAGTATTTGCTCCGCGTTGGGTCGCTTTTTCGGATCGTATTTGAACATCTTCTGCACCAGATCAAGACCAGCGGCGGTGAAGACGTCTTTGAACATTGCTTCAAATATCCGCTTTCGTCGATCCGCCGGTTGCATGAGCTCAAACCAGGGGAGATCCACAATTCCCGGCCAATCTGATCGAGTCGGTGTTCCGAGGACATTGTATACTTTATCCAGCTGGCTAAGCTCTCCACCTTCTCCCGGGAAGATCGCTTTCTTGGTGAACATTTCCACGAATACACAAGCCGCAGACCATATGTCCACCTCAGGTCCGTATTGAGTTTCACCCAGAAGAAGCTCAGGAGGCCGATACCAAATTGTGATTACACGATTGGTGTAGTCGAGTTTTCGGGACTTATTGTAAAACCGTGCAAGACCAAAGTCGGCGTACTTCAGTTGACCAGTGTTAGAGATCAGAATGTTGGCAGCCTTGATGTCCCGATGTAGCACGCCTCGGCGATGGAGATAATCAAGGCCATCAAACATTTGCTTCGCCAAATCCTTCTTGTGCGCGGGCGTGAGTTTGAACGTTGGATGGTTGATAAGCCCAGTCAGGTCGTGCGAGAGGTACTCGAAAACCATGAAGCACTCGTTCTTTTCCACCATGACCTCTTGTAATGCGACCACGTGCTTGTGTCGTAAATGTTGTAATAGTCTGATTTCGCGCACGGCGGTGATGGGGAATCCGTCTCGTTCACCCTCCATACGGATCTTCTTCAGTGCAACTTTGTCCTTTGTGTAGATGTGAATGGCCTTGAATACTTTTCCATATGTGCCTGCACCAACAACAGACTCATTGCCCGGCTTTCGGAAGTATATAGATTCGGATTCTGCAAATTCGGGAGGCAACGTAGGCCGAGACTTGATCTCCTTCTTCATCTTCTTCGAAGGGGGAGAGCGTGATCGGTCCGGTCGGCGTTCTCTTGGAGGCAGTTGTTGATGCAACTGTTGTTGACGGTCGTTGGGATGTCTTCGATCATGCGGTGCAAATTTCCGGTCATGGCCCCGAAATCCATGTCTGTCGTCACGGCGGTCAAAATGTTTGTTCTTGGGGCCTTGTGGTGGTGGTGGCCGATTGTCCGAGGGTTGAAATGGCCCTTTTGGTTTAGAAAAATCTGCAGCAGGTTTAGCTGGAGCCTGAGGAGGAGCTTTGGACTTGAAGGCGAAGCTAAATTTGGAAGCAGCCGGTCCTCGTTGGTCATTACCCTGTGTGTCTTGATCTGTGTTGTCGATCCTGCTGTTTCCTTGATCCTCCACCTGCAATTCTTTCGACGGCCTGAAGGGGTTCTCTTCTTCAACCGGAGGGGCTTCTCGGCCGTCCTGTGACGCGATATGCGAAGGAGCTGGTGATGTTTGCGGTTGACTTCCGTAGCCGCCTTGAAAAGTCTGATTTGGCGGTCCACCTTGTTTCGGGGCTGGTGCTGTCCACTGCAAGTTGTTGAAATGCCCACCCCGGCCTCTGTGACGGGGCCCGCTGAACCGCTGGTCTTGCTGGAAATGTCCTCGATGAGGGCCATGTCCACGACCACCTCGGTAAGATTGCTGATAACCGTGTTGATTACCTCCATAGTGGCCCTGTTGGTTCTGGTAGAAGGGATTGGGATTGTTTACGCCGCCTGGACCGGAAAAGCTATTTTGCCGATAAGGAGGAGAGGAGTTGTGCATTTGCCTGCAAATTGGATTAGCGGGTGAAAAGGCTCTTCTAGGGGTATAAGGGTACTGACCCATGATGACCTTGCCCTCCCCAGCCGCCTCTCTGATGATGGTATGGAGAGTTCTGCGTTGGGGAGCCGTGATAGGAGCTGTTGGAAGAATATGGCGGAGAGCCTCCATATCCTTGGTGTCTATTTTCAGCATATGGTCTTTGTTGCCCTCGATTCATCCCATGATTACCACGTGTTGGGTATTGGCCATCCATGGAGCGGTTGTCGGTATCGTCGACAACGGAAGGAGCTCTTGAGGATGGATTATCCTTCTTATTAGAAGCCCGGCCTGGGCCTGGTGGAGGACGTTTTGATGGCTGTGTCGAAATCACGGACGATTCTCGAGTTTCGATAGATGAATGTTTAGACTCGGGGCGTCGATGCGGAGATGATCTCGCAGGCAGACGAGGGGAGATGGATCGCTGATCGCGTGCGCGGGACGGCGAAGACTCTCTCAGGATAGCAGGGTCGTAATTGCCACGATCCAGGGCGTGAGATCTTGCAGCAGGCGAAAAGGGTCGAGATGAATGCGGAGGGATATTCCCGGGCGGGAAAGGAGATGGAGGATCTGGCGGACCCCTGTCGTCGATATCAAAGAAATCCCGACTGCGAGCACGTCTTTGGCTTTCGAAGCCAAATCCGTCGCCGCCAGCAGGAGAAGGGCTTCGAGTACGCCTCCGTTTGGATGATGGTGTTGGCGAGAAGTCACGGCGTCTCCCAGGCCGATCTCCAAATTGCTTTCGGGGTGGTGGACGATGATGCTGCTTGTTTTTTGAGAAACGACGGGGAGGCGAAATGGAAGACTTTCTACCATGCAATTTCCTGGGGTCTCCGTCTCTCGAAAATTGCCGCTTCCAACGCGGTTCACGAGGTGGGCGATCAGGGCGTTGCCCTTGGTCCAACGACACTGAAGGTTCTCCTGCTGGGCGACCAGAATGTGGTGAATGAGGTGGACCGCCTTCTCGAGTTGCGTCTCTGTCCCGCGGCCGGTGATGTGGATGTCTGTGGCGCGGATCCTCTTCGCCTCGCCAGCGATTCTTCATTGATGGGCTCCTTCGAGACCTCGCCATGTAATGCGGGGCGGCATTTGCGAAGATGGAGGACGGGGAGATTCGAGGGTTTGGGGGAGAGTAATGGTCGTAGTGGTGGTGCTCGCGAGGCAGAGGATTCGGATGTTGGGTGAGTCCTGCGCAGTTTGGAGATTCAGCGACGAGCCACCAGCCAGAAGCGGACGATGGGTTGGGTGAGGGTCCAAGGACTTGGCACGCCCGTGGAAAAGCGGCGGCAACGATGGCCCCCAGGTCGCTCAAGTCGGAAGCGAATCGAGGGCCTTTCGAGCCCCCGACCCTTCAAGTTCTGGGGATGTCTAGGGGACGGAGGACACTCACCTGCTCCTGGTCCAGGCTCCCACTCGCTCCGTTCCGTCGCCCTCTTCGTCTCGCTCACCATCTCACCAGCTCCGTCATGCTGCATCAGCTGCTCCTCTGCCCTTCCTTTACCGTTTTTTTTGCTCATCACTCTGAATGACTCCAGCAGTGATAAATGGCCGCGGTCTACCACTCAAACTACATTTCGCCGGGGTTGTCTTTGTCGTGAGAGCTGCATCAACAGTGCAATCTCAGTCTCAGTCGCAGCGCTCCGCTTTGTTGGCGGCGATTCAAAGGCGGCGGGGATCAAAAAGTCGAGCGTCAGCTGCACTTCAGAGTGACAGCACAAAACGCGACAATCTATCTACGTGGATTCTTTTTCTCGGCGCCTCCAACAATAGGCAGAAGATATCAGTCAGTGCCTTGACGCGCTTGCACTTTGCCGTTCAACTGCCTGTGGAAAACACGCGTTGAGTAACCTCTCCTCCAACCGTCATTGACGTCCACCGCCTCTCCCGGCATTTATGCTCTCGTAAAACCAGACATTGGCCACAGAAAGGCAGCAACATCTGTTCACATGGCAACGACATTGATGAGTCCTAGATGTTAGTGTGCTCGCTGGCGGACATAGAGTCAGCAATAAGGTAGTTGTTTCTCGAGGACATTTTGACCGAGGGGTTGTTGAAGCAGTATGGAGGACCGTAAGAATGACAGATCTGTCTCGTTAGCTCGCACGTATTTGGGCATTGGTTGACCTTTAACCACAACATTTTGCATTGTTGGTTGACAAAATCGTTCATGATTGTCGAACACAGGGTAAGGCGGACTTGACCATGGTTCGTAACGCAATGCGATATCTGTATTCGGCGGCGGGATTCGGTCTCCGGGTGGTGCGGATGCCTTCTTAGGAAACAGCGAGTTCAGAGGGAGAGCGTCGACAGCAAAACTACATATCCAAAGGCATTGTCGCAGCCAATATCGAGGGCAGCCAAGGCTTCTGATGCTCAAGGTCCAGAGATGGCGGCAAATGGATCATATTTGCCCGTGGAAAGGCGATTTGGGTTGCTGACCGCCCGGGACCTGTATCAATTCGCTCCCTGGATGATCGACCATCGTAATTGCCGGGCATAATCAAAGAGGATCAAGTCGGACGCAACTCTTGGGATAGAAAATAAGACGAAGGAATTGAGGCATCAAACGCAACATTTGATGGCCTCGACGGTCTACAATGTACAGGACCGACAATGATGAAAGACGTTGAGGTTGTTGGAAGGAGAGGGATCCTCCTCGCCTCCAACTTGGCTGCCAAGACACTAGTGGATGTGGGAGGCTGGGCATCCGGAGAAGCAAACGCGTCTTGACACGCAATTTGATACACTGCGCGGCCGCCCGCTGTATGCTATGCTTATGTGCTCGGAACTTTCGTAGCCATCTAATCATCAAACAGCAAAACATCCCCGTGAAAATAGGATCAGCCCACTGTAGCGAGGCTGAGATGAATCACAAAGAAGTGCATGGCAGCCATTAGACGGGGTTGGCGTTCCTCGTGATCGTCCCTCACTGGCCTGCTTCATTCTTCCAGACGGGATGAGAGAACCCCTGACCATAAACACAGCAGTGCTGTGATTTCGGAGAGGATGCCTATTCGAAGCACCATTTCGCTCTTTCTCTCCCGTATCTGCTGACCATATCTGTGGCTCGATCGTGAAGCAACACAGTGTTGAATCAACCATCTGAATCGGCGTTTCAAAATCAGATTTCATATCTGGGGCCACCTTCTCCGGAATCACCATCATCACCCGTCCACGCTCATCTTTTCACCAACCCCTTTCTCACCCATCAGTTCGCACCCTGTTCTCACAATGCCGATCATCCCACCAGTCTGCACACCCTCACTTCCGCCCCCGGCCAATCTGTATTCAATCTCTGCAAGTCCTTGCAGCCACGTCACTCTGGTCGCGGCACTGACCTCGAGGTTCTGTAATTCGTCCGCCAACGCAGTCAATATGTCGGCCAGTGCCAGACCTCGACTACTTTTCAAGGCATTAATCGTCCTTAGACATTCCGTCAGATCTGGAGTGCTCAGCATAGTCGTCATGATTAACCGAATATCTTCGGGGTGTGGCGCTGCAATACAATTGTAAATCGTGTCGTTCGTAATCAACTCGTATTTGATTTCAGATTCTGGCACGGGAGGCTGCCCTCGCATTGGGAGCGGCCGTGACCCGGCGTGGCAGGCTTGAAGAACATTCAATGCCCGACGCATGTCGCCTTTCGACAGCTTGACCAAAGAATCCACTGCGTCGGGTGTGATATTGACGTTTTCCTGTGAAATCACCTTGTCTACCAACCGCCGGATATCTGCTTCCTTTAACGGTGAGAAGCGAAACCGTGTACATCTCGACAACAATGCCGGAGACAGCTTGTGTGTGTAGTTTGCAATAATGCAGAATCTTGTGTTGGCGGTGTATTTTTCCATAATCCTGCGAAGAGCCATTTGTGCTGCGGATGTCATTGCGTCTGCTTCGTCGAGAACGATCAGCTTGAAGGCGCCTAGGCCGAGTTTAGGCCCGCCCGGAGTCTGTTGCGTGGAAGTACTGAAGATCTGCTTGGTCGACGCAAAAGTTTTGATCTGCTCGCGAACCACGTCGATGCCGCGGTCATCAGAAGCATTGAGTTCGAGCACCATCTGCCTCATGTTCCTGGGGCCATATATCTGTCGCGCCAGCGCCAAAATGGTGGATGTCTTTCCGGTACCCGGCGGTCCATAAAAGAGGAGATGCGGCAGCCGATTGTGTTCAACAAATCTGTTGATCGTGGCAAGGATATCTTGGTGCCCGGAGACATCGTCGAGGGTGTTAGGCCGGTACTTCTCGACCCTGAATATCCTGTAAGCAACTACATCGCTAGTTCAAGCGCACAAGAGATGGTTGGCATACCAAGGCAAGTTGTCCTCTGCTTCCACTGGCAAGTCCGCAGCTATTCGCTTCTGTTTGCCCGCTGCGTGGTCTGAGCTGAATTGAATGGACTTGTCCTTGGACGGAGGCGCATCCAAGTCCATATCATCTTCGTAGTCCGACATCCTGACTCTGATTGTGAATCGTTCAATTGCTAAAAGAGCATCCGTGAAAGTATCATTAGTCGGTCAGGTTCATGTCAATATTCCCTCTATCACGACGCGCCCGCGGCTGCGGAGACGCGTTAAGTGAAGTGCAGTTTGTGACAAAATACGTCGCCCTAATATATCTACGTCATCGCACAACACCGCCAAGCCGCGGTTGCGGGCTCAAGGCATTGGTGGGATGGCACGACGGGCAGGAACTCACAGCGACTGCCTGGGACAAAGGGCCCTCGACTTTACACGGCCGTGAGATGGGAAGTTGAGAAGCTGAGTCCTATCGTCGACCTCTCCTGCTTGCTTTCTCTAGACACCACCTTGTGGGAAATCAAGATGCCAGTGAGTCCCCGCTGCCTTGCTTCTTGCCTCGAATCCGCTGACATCGCACTCGCAGGCGTACCACTCTATCTTTCTGGGTGACCAGGGCGTCCAGCTAATAGGTATTCTCATTTCGAAGCACGACGGCTCACAGACCCTGCGTTACTGACATCTGTGGCTCTAAAGGCAACTTCCCGCTCCTCCCGCTTCGCACGAAAACCCGTGGTCCGGCCTACACCCTCCCTGCTCTCCCACCCAATGTCGATCCCCTCGACGTCGACCCCGACTCCGAGTCCTACGACTGCCTGGACGAGATCCTGAGCTTGTTCCGCGCCAACACCTTCTTCCGCAATTTTGAAATTAAAGGCCCCGCAGATCGCATGCTTATCTACGGCATCCTCTTCCTCTCGGACTGTCTGACCAAAGTGAAACCAAACATGGACTCACGTGCAGCCGAGAAAGCCCTGATAAACGGCGCATTAGAGCAATTCAGCATTCCAGGGGAGCCAGGTTTCCCATTGAACCAAGCGTATGAGGCACCCAGGGATCGGAACGAGGCCGAGGCGTTGAGGAGTTACCTAAGTCAAGTCAGGCAGGAACTGGCAATCAGGTTTCATGCTAGGCTCTACGCGGATGGGACCAATGTACCGAGCAAATGGTGGTTGAGCTTCACAAAGCGGAAGTTTATGGGCAAGAGTTTATAGACAAACGTTGAGGGAACAGCATGAGCCATTGGAGTTGTTCTGGATGGACTGGTGATGAGAAAAAGAGTATTGATATCTGTTTCTCAGGCAAATGAGGAGAATTAGGTCCATGGAATATGATTCACCATCCAGAACAAGCCATGCTCAGTTTTCGCCTGGCCTTCGTCTCAACCCATTTATGCCTGGTCGTTGACAGCCTCAAGCGCCTCTAGATCGCCCTGTTCCTGCGCCACAGCCCCGACCTTTAGTTTCTTTAGCGGCGACTGGGGTGTCTCCTCAATATCTGCCGTTCTCTTTCCTCCTTCCAGTTCACCTTCAACTGGGCTTCCGGTCGACATGTCTTCGACCTTGGCCTTCTTTCCCCTAGGCGGTCTACCTCTCGCCTCAACCTTTCCCTCCGCAGGCACAACTCTAGTCGCTACGAAGATATAGCCCTCTGCCCCACCCCTTCCCGTCATCAATGGATGCGTCCGGCCCGGCAAGACCTGCCACTTCCTCACTCTTGCAGTCTGCACTGTCGGCGCTAAGAGCAGTGTCGGATCAACCGGGAAGTCCTCTGACGGCACAGTCCTTTGTTCCAGAGGTGTATTGATGAACGCAGTCCGCCGTGCCGTAGAGTAGTAGTCCGCCAGTTCAACGAGAGGTTCGGCGTGCGGCGAGTAGACCACCACTTGGCTCCCGCCCGCCAACAAAGGCACGAGATGGCGCAATGTCGATGCCGGATCGGTGAAACTGGCGACGATCAGGCCGTTGAAGCCGCCCGCCTGGGTCTCGTCGACGACGTTCTTGACACGTTCCCACCGTCGTCGTTTGCGGTAGTAAGCACTCCTTCGGTTCGATTTCATCCTCGCCAGTTCCGAATCCGGTATCGTGGGCGGTTCTTGGTACGTGGTGCCGGACTCAGGTTCAAGCAGCTGTAGCCACGAGAGGGTCTTAAGGTGTGTGTATAATGGATGGGAAGCAGTGGGGGCGTTGGAGTCAAAGTTGAAATAACGTAATAGGCCTAGGTTGGGCTGTTGATTCGCGTGCACGAGGGTGATCGTGCTGGATGATGCGCTCATGGCCAAGCGGCGGTAATGTTCGCGGTGTGACCTTCGATGTAAATGTGGCGCTACCTCATCGGGTTGTTCCTCGTCCACGTCTTCATCTTCGGCGGAGGCAGTCGCCTCGTGTCCGAAGTGTGTTTGGTGTAGAACGCCCATCCTCTCGGCCATAGCTGCAACGAGTAGACCGCCCGTGTCATCTACAACCAGATACCGGGAATATGGATCCATGTTAGCGAGCATGGCAGAGTCTTGCCCGGCAGCGTGGACATTCGCCCAACACCCGAGCAGGCCGACGGCCTCGTTTCTCATCTCCATGATCTTCGCAAACTCCCGGTCGGCCATCATCCAATCTACCAGCGTCGTCACATCCAGCGGCAGCACAGTAAACTGCTTCATGTACTTCTTGTGCTTTCTGAGCGTATATTTGGCGAGAGAGAAGGCCGTCTTCTGATCAAGGGTGGAATGGGATTGCATGATCTTCTCGATCAGTTCTCTCCCGCTGCCCATGGTGTTCCGCTTGAGAGATTCGATCTCGGTCATGGTCAGCTTCTGATTCGTGGGGTCGTCGTGGGTGTTGACGTTGGATTTGGGCGTCGGCTGCTGTGAGAGTCCCGCGTCGTCCAGCTCAGTCACCGGGGTCGGCACATCTTCCGTCTCCGCCTGCTCGACCAGAGCGACGGCATGCAATTCGGCGGCCTGCACAACTCGGAGCTCTCTGCCGTTCTTGACCTCGGACCGGTCAAGAATCTCAAAAGTTAGGTGGTACGGCCGGCCCATGATCTGGTTTGTGCGGAAAGACCCATATTTGCCCAGGTTTATCAGACTTTTGTAGACAGAGTCAGCGACAGCTCATCAAGGCCGTTGGCTGATATCTGTTTGTGGCCTGACGGATTGCTTTTCGGTGTTCAAGAAACCTACGTGTTGGGGACCATTTGTTCGACTTTCGTCTGATCTGAGGGTAGCCGGATGGCCACATATTGGTAAGGTTGGATTACTGAAAAGTCCATTTCGCCGCTTGATAATGCACTCCGCGAGCTTGATGAGGGGCTTTAGCTCTTAATCGTCATTCTTCTAGATATAAATATGAGACAGATTGACCATTAAAAAAATGCTGTAGAAGCGTGGAGATATTTTATTTTTATCGACGACTTCCGCTCCGGGCGTCGCCTACTTGCCGCTCTATGTGTGGCGGTATCGGCCCCGCTCAATCTCGGCTCAGCCTTGCTCTTAGCATGCGAGGCTGTTGTTGAAGTATACAAGGCATCGCCCTGTCACTCACTGATCGTGCTTTCCTCTTTGATATCAGGACCCTCCGTCAGGTTATATATTGCTGAGAGCTTGCAGAGCCCAGCCAGATCACTGTCTTTCAAGTAGAAAGTACCTCGATGCCAAACTTTGCGTACGGGAAATTTTCCAGACTCTCCAGATGCTGTGCCCAACCATCACCAATCTCACCGAGCTGTTCTTCGTTGCCAATCTTGACCAGGCCCGTTCTTCCAGCAAGTACCTCCAGCTCTTTCTCTTCGAATTCGGCATATAACCCTGGATGTGGGACCCAAACGACTCTCATCCCGGCCCTGCGCCCCGCCTCGACACCGGGCACACTGTCCTCGAAGACCAAGCATTCCTCAGGTGCAATAGGAGGTGACCCGTTCGAGAGCTTGGAATTGAGAATCTGTAGTGCACACAAGTAAATATCAGGTGCTGGTTTCCCGCGACCCTTGCGCACGCGTGGATCGTCCCCTAGAACTCGATGTTCCTGGGGGATGAAATCCAAGAGCGCCTTCGACTCCGGCCGCACCACTTTGCAATCGTAGTTAAGCTTCTCGCTGCTGCTTGCTAGAGCGATCTCCACAGGCAGGCCGGTGGCCGTTCGAGCCTTGCTGAGATCGCCGAGGAGCTTTTCGGCGCCGGGTAACGGCTTACATTCGGCAAAATGGATTCGCTGTTGCTCACTCTGTTCCTTCGCATATTGCTCTCGCGGTATAGGTAGTTGTGCCCACTGGTGAAAGATGTCACCGTTGGAACTTCCAGGAACACCCATAAGTTGGGCTTTGATGGACCAGGGGAGCCGCGGTCGGCCGTGTTTGAGAAGAATGTTGTCGGCACACAGAGTGTAAATGTCTTCGGTGTTGAGCAGCAGGCCGTCCATGTCAAAGATACAGGCACGTACTGGCGGGAAACTACGCAGCCCGTCCCCATCTAGTTAGCTGATCACCATAGCTGGCTGCAGTCTTGGGAGTTGAAGACGGCGAGGGGGTTTGCAAAGCCTTCCAAGCCGAGAGACTCGGGATGGTTGCGATTACGCCATAAACGATTGAAATACGGGATAACTTACTCTATCCGGGCAGGCATTTTAGAAAGGACAAGACGATGCAACCGCGCTCAATGTCCCGCTTTGAGCTGCTCAGATTGCCCAAGGCGTCGGGAAGTTCCCCAAGCTTGTGGTTTGGCGAGCACAGCCACATGTCAGAATGCGGGTTAGACTAGGCCAACTTTGGCCATGTATATGTTGCTCCCAGCCTATGTACCCACCACGATGATGGGAAAGCCAAATAGCTGTGATGGTCAGCGCCACATGACCAACAGCCTCCTCGTGACCGGGGAGAGAGCGCAAGGCATGATTCTATACGGAAGACGCAGCCACAAAACCAGGAACAATGTAGATCGTGGCGCTTGTGGGTGACGTCACAGGGCGAACAATGAACACTGCCAGAGCTGCCTGAAGAACGAAGTCGCTGCGTTCGGTGGTGCTACAGGCGCATTCCAAGGGACAACAAGCGAGAGCGTGTGACGCACTTTGTTCCTCATGGTATAGAACACACGCAATAGCGCCATCGCGCATCCGTCAACTTTGCTCTTCCTTCTGCATCACCTCAGCCCGCGTCCTATATTACCATCACATTCCAGCCCCAGCGGACGTCAGCCTCGTCAGTCTCAAACTCCCCACGAACATCATCATGTCGGACATTGCCAAAGGCGTCAGCAACTTGGTTGCCTCCATCTTCGAGATCTTCAAGGGTATCTTCGTCACCGTCTTCAACGTCTTCGAGGGCGCGTTGAACGCGGTCATTGGCCTCCTCAAAAACACGTTCAACTTGGCTGAAGGCGTGCTTGGCTTTCTTATCGGTAGGTTACCCGGCAACATACGCCTAGTCCAGAGGAATAGGTCTGACCTGGATAGGAAACATCTTCATTATCGGAACGCTGTGCGCAGTCTACTTCGGGTATGTCTTGTACCAACAACGTCAGGGCAAACGACCGGCTCCGATCTCGAAAGTGGCAACGGGAAAGACTCAATGAGCGCAATAGCACAGAAGAAGGTGGTGGGAAGCAAGGTGGAATCAGTAATCAAGCAGCGGGAACGGCAATGAAATGTGCTAGAGCGCAGGTCGCTGCGGTTTGGTATACACCATGAAACACGACGGGTGGAAGAGTGCTTGGGTGAATAATGGCAAAAGGAGAGCGCGGGCCGAGGTCGACAGCAGTGAAATCGCCTCTTCCGCTGCAACTGCCAACTGGGGCTCTCAATCTCTTCTTCGATCAATAGTATAGCCATAGGTAGTCCGATATGTGGAAGAAACTGCGATCGGAGACTCTGAAACGAATTTGCTTCGGATGTGCCAAGGCAAAATGGACAATTGCCGAGGTTAATGTGGGCGCCGTGTGAGTGGCTGCGATGCTGCATCTTCAACTGCGCTCAATGTCTCGATCGCCGAACATCTTCCCTCCCTTTAACCATTGCCATCCCCCCCTTTCGTCTGCGTCTCATTCCTTCCGAATTCCTCCATTGATCTCCAATTCTCCGTCCGCACATGCGTCAAGCCCTGTGAGCTACAAAAAGCGGGAACCTGTTGACTCTTCGTTCATTTCGCGACACTCCTTCTCTTTCTCTTTGCTGATCCCATTCTACCCCTCCTTTTCTGTCAAACACCATCCACTGCCCGAAGAGTGCGCAAAACTCTTGCCATCATGTCTCAAATAAAGGACGTTGCGCCATCCCCTACCGAGACCGACCTCGATTCACAATCCTCCCAATCCTCCGGTCCAGTCAACACCGTACCCTCGCGCGATCCTACCCCCGCGACCTCTGCGGCTCAACAAAGCGACAATATTGCCCATGCATTGGCTGGTGCGGGCGGCGGCCTTCTCGCGATGACCCTGACCTACCCCCTGATTACCCTCTCGACCCGAGCACAGGTCGAGTCGAAGCGGGCCGATACTTCCACAATCGCAGCTGTGAGACACATCATCAAGCGGGAAGGTCTGGGCGGACTCTATGCGGGACTCGAGAGTGCGTTGTTTGGTATTTCAGTCACCAACTTCGTCTATTACTATTGGTATGAGTGGACCCGCGCCTTCTTTGAGAAAGCGGCGATCACAGCGGGCCGAGCTAGCAAGAAGCTCACCACGGTCGAGAGCATGATCGCCGGTGCGATTGCGGGTTCAGCAACCGTCCTCCTCACCAATCCTATCTGGGTCATCAACACAAGGATGACAGCCCGCAAGAGCGAGTCCGGAGAGGGCGAGTTACCAGGTGGTGAAAAGAGACAGGTCAAGAAACCTGGCACCATCGGGACCTTGTTGGCCCTCCTTAAAGAGGAAGGGCCCTCCGCTCTTTTCGCCGGAGTCCTTCCAGCTTTGGTCTTGGTGATCAACCCAATCCTACAATATACCCTGTATGAACAAATGAGGAACGTTTTGGAGAAGAAGAGGAAATTTGGCCCACGTGATGCCTTTTACCTAGGTGCTCTTGGCAAGCTGCTGGCGACTACCATCACCTATCCTTACATTACTGTCAAATCCAGGGCTCATGTCGCCAGCAAAGATGATCTTCATGAGGGTATGTGGAAGAGCTTGAATAGGATTGTCAAGGAAGAAGGCTGGGCCGGTTTGTACAAGGGTAAGCTTGATCTATCTCTCTCATACTCGATTTCAAACTGACCAACCTTGATTAGGACTCGTCCCTAAAGTCAGCCAAAGTGTATTGACAGCGGCTTTCCTCTTTGCCTTCAAGGACGTTCTATACGACATGACCGTGGCGATGCGCAGAAGGGCAAAAGCCATCAAAGCATGATCCGAAACTCGAACACCACTTGGGTGTATCCAGCATTCAGAGAAGGATGTCTAGAATGTCTTGATATCTCCACGTCAGCACGAAGAGATTGTCACCTATAGTGCAACGGCTCTCTTCCAAATAGCATGAAATGCTATTTCAGCAGTATTCCTGCAAGTGCTCGTTGGAATACAAAGCGACCTAAGGACAAGCGGAAGTGGAGCCAGGGAGGTTGTCGTCCGCGCCCTCAAAAGGTCCAAGAACTTAAGAACGCGTTCAGAAATAGACGGCACAGGTTCTCACTTGTAAATCGAACCTACCGCCGCAATTATAGCTTCACTTAGATCAGATTAGCGCTCTACGAAGATTGTGGTAAAATTCTATGTCGTATCTCCTCGATGACTGGGCTAGCGAGGCTCAACTTCGGCTTGGCTTCAGGTTCTGCTCTGGCTGCCTGACGGAACATCTCAGCTAACTACACAGCATTGATTTGCAAACACCCAGGCTGGACCAAAGGGCAATGAGCCTAATTTCTGGGTTCTGGGATCAGGTTAATACCTACGCCTCAGCGACTGCCCATCAACTTTGTCCTCCATGTAAAACGTTCTGCTCCAGATCGAACTTACTGCAAACCCTGCCGCAAGACTACACAACATGGGAACAGGAACAGAAGGAGGGCAGACCTCTGACTTTACGACCCGAGAACCAAGAGTCATATCGAATTCACCATTATTCGGGCCTCCGTCGATGCGTCTCGGAAGGCCAATGCCACCTCTGCGCTATCATCTGGGCCGAGTTGCGATCCGAGGCTGGATATGATCCGTTGGAAGAGCTGCGGCGTCTAGAGCATGATGATGCAATATTGACTGGAGTCCTGAAAGGAGGGGGCAGATCGTTCATCAACCACCGCCTCCTGACATTTCACGTCGGAGAGAAGAAGTCGAACACAGCAATGCATCTGCTTATGTCGTCTGGTACGAGGGTTTGATCTCTTCAAGTGAAGGCCATCTGCTGATACTCTGCGGAAGAGCCACATACCGCACCCATCCAAGAGGAGGTCGATGCGCAACTCGCCTTCTCTACCGAATCCGATGCCACCATATCTCTTGCGGACAAGTGGCTTCGGGACTGTATTGCTCAGGATACGGCTTGTGCTGGTGAGAGGCAAAGCGCCGTATGGGATAAAGCGTTGCCTGCTAGACTCATCTGCGTTGACGGCGAAGGTTCTAGCTGGCAATCAGCTCGTGTCGTGGAAACGAACAGATTATCCTCAAATACTCCTTACCTCACGCTCAGTCACTCGTGGGGAGACGGCAAGTTTCTAAAACTACTATCGACGAACACAACACAGCTCTATTCTTCCATTCCGGTGGACCAGCTGAGCAAGACTCACAGAGACGCTCTATCGATAACACGCAGATTGGGGTATCGCTATATCTGGATCGACTCGCTCTGCATCATTCAGGACTCCAACGATGACTGGAGATCACAATCTGCGCAGATGGCTTCGATTTACGGTAACTCAACGTGTAATATCGCAGCAGAGAATGCTTCTGAATCCGGTGGATGTTTCATACGCCGCAATCCGTTAATGCAGCGACCCTGCCAATTGACTCACAGCAGCGATCTGGATCCAGCAGAAGGCGTCTATGCCCATCGCTACCACACTGCAAACTGGTCTGCATTTCCGGAGTATTATTATTCTCCTTTATCCCTCCTAACCCGCGCATGGGTTCAACAAGAGCGCATCCTGTCACCTCGGGTTCTGTATTTCGGTGGCCCTGAAATACATTGGGAATGCTGTTCATTCCAGGCTTCCGAGGCATGGCCGAACGGTTCGCCCAGCCAAGACCATGGATTCGATGAGTTCTATCCACTCAAAGCGGCATTCGAGTCTCTGATCACTCCCTTTACGAATTGGGGACGAGACGAGCTCAACAGGTTTGTCTACGAGCTGTGGCACCACGGTGTGTTTCGGGAGTATACCGCAGCCGATCTGACGTTTGAGAAGGATAGATTGGTGGCTCTCGCTGGCATTGTTGGAGTCATTCAGCGGCGCACAGGCATGACTTATGTGGCCGGTTTGTGGAAGGAGTTCCTTCCGATGGAACTCATGTGGCGGAAAATGGACGCCCCGGTGCCAGCACAGAAACATCTCGAGCCCTTGCCTTGGAAAGCGCCTACGTGGTCCTGGGCATCAGTCAAGGGTCGGAAAAGGTTTGATCTCTCTGCGCTGCAAAAGCCGGAAGATGACAATATACTGTATTGCTCCCGTATCCTGAAATATGTTATAGAGCCATTGGACGTCGCACAACCTATACTAGGTGAGGTGTCAGGCGGGACCATCACCGTGACTGGCTTTCTTGCGCCTCTGGTTAGACCCAGTCCCGCGGAAACCATGGAAGCTGATGGACCGAATCGCTTCAAAAAGCCAAAGGACATCGCACTGGATATCGATCTTCCGCCGTCAACGCAGCTGTTCTACTTCTGTCTTATGAAGACCAGGGACAACGAGACCACGCTTACGAACAAAGGGCTCGTCATAGCGAAAGCAGTGGCAGAGACAGAAGAACAGAAAGACGGCGCCAAATATGCTGGCAGTTACATCCGAGTTGGCGTGTTTGTGAGCTCGTTCAAGAGTGGAATGGGCAGCGTTTTCGACGGTGTCGATGAGACTTCGGTCACCATATGTTGATAGCTTGATTCTCTCCGTGGCATCGCTGAATGGCAACGGAGGCCATTGTTTCAAGGGTGGCATTTCCAAACACCAATGTTTCATCGTCGAACCGCGTTCATACACTTGACAAGGCTGTGCACGGAGCTTACTCGCATTGGGATGCCCTGCTAGTGTTTGGGTTAAGCACCTCTGCCTCCTGCCCCTAGTTAAACTCAACACCTCAGACGCCCATGATTGAGCTTTGTAGGTACAGCCGACTCGGATCCAACTACGCTTTTCACAATTTACCCATCGATTCAGGCAGAAATGGTCTTGAGTAGCCTTCGGCTCGACGCACTAAGGCAGAAAAATTCCGGATAGTGGTTATATGCATAGGTCAACGAAGGTGCTATACGAAATGCTGCATTCTGTACAGTATTGCTTACTCAGAAACCCCCGAGGGCCCGCGTCCAAGCGTCTCGCTCGCCTTACACTTCTGTGAGCGACACCAGCCAATTAGGCCTCCATAGGACCTACCGGTTCCAGCCTGGTAAACAAGAAAATTCGTCCGTGAGACTGGGGTGCGGATTCGGCCGAACCGGAAACTCCAATGCTTTATTGCACCATATATTCTCAGTCATAGCCCTACCTATATAACATGGAACCATTCATTTCTGAGCAAAGGTCTAGTTCATCAGCGAGAGCATCTTGCCTCCGCAGCACAAGTCATCATGTCAAAGCCAATTCGCGTGGGCTTCATCGGGCTCAGCTCCAACGAAAACATCCAGCTCGCGGGGGCGTGGGGTAAGAATGCCCACCTGCCGTACTTGACACAGTCCCCAGACTATACCATCACCGCGCTGTGCAACTCATCCGTCGAGTCGGCGAAGAAGGCGGCCAAGCTGCATGGCCTGGACGCTAGCAACGTCCACACGTACGGCGACCCCGAGTCCCTGGCCAAGGACGACAATGTCGACATGGTCGTCTGCTCCGTCAATGTCGCGCAGCATTACCCACTCATCAAACCGGCCTTGCTCGCCGGAAAGATGGTCTTCTGCGAATGGCCTCTGGCCTCGAACCTGGACCAGATGAATGAACTGGCCGAGTTGGCCGAGCAGAAGCATCTCAAGACCATCGTGGGATTGCAAGGTCGCAATGGCGCATATGTCCATGCCGTGAGGAAGTTCATCGGCGACGCGCCAGGCCAATTGGGCGAGGTTCTCAGTACTTCCCTGGTTGGATGCGCGTTCCTTCTGGGGATGGCGACTCCTAAGGAGATCGCTTACTTGATGGATATCAAAAGTGGAGGGAACATGTTCACGATCACGGCCATCCACTGTGAGTTTCCCACGTTTTTCTTCCGCAGCAAGAGGCTGCAGGAACCACGAGAGACTTTCGCTAATGGGTTTGGGCCCTTCATTCAGTGCTCGACACTTTGACCGCCGCCCTGGGCGAGATCGAATCTCAGAATACTCTCCTGAAGAACCGACGCCCCACCCTCGCGCTGACGGACAGCGCTTTCAACGTCATTGAGCCGTCGTATCCCAACGGCACGCCAGAGCACATTCTAATCCACGGCGTCCTAAAGGGCGACATTCCATTCAACTTCCAGGTCCGCGGCGGTCCGCAATTCAAGGACACTCCGGCGTTCGACTGGCGGATCTATTGCACCAGGGGGGAAATCAGGGTCACCGGGAACGAAATGCTCTGGCTCGGCGGCGGCATCAAGGTGCAAGTGTACGACTTCGTTGCCAACAAGGTCGAGGATGTGGATTTGAGTCAGGTGCTGCAGGCGGACGTGAAGGACGATATAGCACACAGGATGGGATTGCAAGCTCCGGCCGACAATGTTGCGAGGCTCTATGAGGCCTTTGCCAAAGGCGAGACCGAGAAGTACCTGGATTTCAAGCAGAGTTTGAAGTGGGCGCGGTTCATCCACGAGGCGTATTCTGCCAACGGCATGTGAGAGTAGTGGAAGATGGCTCGCCCCCAAACAGAGGACTCGGGCCCTGTTCATGTGCAAGCAAAAAGAATAAATTTGCCTTCTGGAAGCATTGGTTCAAGCTCGACACATTAATCTCTCACCAACGTCGCGTTTTGGCGTTCGAGAGTCGAAGACTGGCTCCGTACTTACGCTTCTTCAACTGGCGATCATAAGCAAGCGGTGGCCTCTTGGATTTAGCCGGCATTTGCCAAGCAAGGGCGCCCTGGTATTACTCTTCAACTTTGTACTCTGTAGACCTATGGTCGGGACAAAGTGTGTCTATGGCAGCTCCGGCCTAATCCAGCCATCACAATCTCCTCGCCGTTACACAGACGTTGTGAATTGCGCACTCAATCAGATAGGGCCCATAATTATGATCGAGGGCTAGACCATGGAAGGTCAAGTGCAGATTTCTCCGCAGCATGAGGCGCCCATCTCAGCAACCAATCGTAGGATCCTGCAAAACAACAGGTTCGACGTTCAGCCTGACTGCGCCATTCCACCATGTGCAAGCTAAGTCACGGCGAAGCCTCGTGGACATGGCCTTCGATCAAGCTGTCTCCCCATCCTCAACTCGTCTCTTCTTCCATGCATAAGATGCGGATTCTGTGTCGTGATGCTCAACCAGCTCCTCGAGTAGCATCCGTTCGAGAACGTGCCGCGCCCGCGCCCGCTCCTCATGCCTCACGATGCGCCTCTTGGAGCGCAGACCCGACGGCAACCTCGTCTTTCGCGAATCCACTGACAACGACCTCCTCGCTTACGCAATCCTCTCCCATACTTGGCTAATAAATAACAACGAAGAGGTCAGCTTTCAGGATGTAGAGGCGGGCACCGGCAAGAGCAAGGCAGGGTGGAGGAAGATCCAGTTTTGCGCGGACAAGGCGGCGGCTGACGGCCTTCGATACTTCTGGATAGATACCTGCTGCATCGACAAGAAGAACAGCACTGAACTATATAAAGCTGTCAACTCTATGTTCCGTTGGTACCAGAACGCCGCTCGATGCTATGTCTATCTCTCCGATGTTTCGGTACAAGATGGCAAAGCGCTGCTTCAGCAAGGTATCTGCCATTGGGAGGCGGCCTATAGGAAATCCCGATGGTTCACGCGTGGCTGGACACTCCAAGAGCTGCTGGCGCCGACGTCGGTGGACTTCTTCAGTTCAGAAGGCGAAAAGTTGGGAAGCAAGGTCTCGTTAGAGGGTATTATTCACGACATTACCGGCATTCCAAGAATAGCCTTAAGGGGAAAGCCTTTAGGCGACTTCAGCCGTAATGAGCGTATGTCGTGGGCATCAAACCGGCACACCAGGGAAGCAGAGGATGAAGCCTATTCCTTAATTGGTATTTTCGACGTGTCTATGCCGCTCATCTATGGGGAAGGGAAAGAGAAGGCTCATAAACGACTTCTGGAAGAGATTGACAAAACTTACAGAGGTTGGTTCTCTTGATCCAGGCACTAAACGACCGGTTGAGCTGACGAAGCTAGGATATGATTCCGATCAATTCGCTGTCAGGTTTGATGTCTCGGCCATCCCCGAGGCCGTGCAATTCGTAGCAAGAGAGAACGAACTCGCCGAGATGGGTCGGCTACTATACGGCCGCAAATCTCGCTCCTCTGTCGTCCTTCACGGCCTGGGAGGGATCGGAAAGACTTAGCTGGTCATCGAATACGTCAGGCGGTATAAAGAGAAATACACTGCGATCTTCTGGGTAAATGCAAAAGACGAAGATACTATAAAGTTGAGTTTTCGGGATATCGCAAAGTATATCCTCGAGCAACAGATGGGACGGTCTTCCACCAGTACACTTACCAGCCTAGACTTGAACGGGAACCTCGACCAAGTCATTGCGGCAGTCAAGACTTGGCTCAACCTCCAAAGGAACACGGGGTGGCTAATGATCTATGATAATTATGATAACCCCCGGATAGCTGGCAATCGTGACCGCTCAGCCGTCGATATACGCAAATTCCTCCCCCGCGGTGATCACGGTTCAATCATCATCACTACACGATCGGCACAAGTTAGTCAGGGTCGTCGCATCCATATCCAGAAGTTGCAGAATATTCACGACGGCCTTGAAATTCTATCAAACACGTCCAAGCGGGAGAATATCGAAAACGGTTAGTTATTTAGACCTGAGATATGGATTTTCACACTGATAAATTCAGACTGTGGTGCTGTAGCGCTCGTCAAAGAACTCGACGGCTTACCTCTGGCTCTTTCGGCGGCTGGAGCATATCTGGAGCACGTCACTACGAGTTTCTCGGATTACCTTCGGCTCTACAATGAGTCGTGGTTGAAGCTTCAGATGACGAGTCCACAATTGAGTTCCTACGAGGATCGGTCACTGTACACGACATGGCAGATCACCTTTGATCGGATCGAACAGCAGAATGCTGCATCGGCCAAATTGCTTAAATGGTGGGCATACTTTGATCGACAGGATGTGTGGCTCGAACTCCTCCGACATGCAAAGTCCTCGGGCGACGAAGGGATACAGAACCTAACCGAGGACGAACTCAACTTCAATGAAGCCGTTGCGCTGCTTTGCAGCTTCGGGCTGGTGAGTGCAGACCGGTCTGTTCAGCAGCAATCCGGAACTGGAGGGTATAGTGTACACAGCTGTGTGCACTCGTGGACCGTGTCTGTTCTCAACAAAGAGTGGGACGGAGAGTTAGCAAGGCTGGCGTTGACTTGTGTGGCCTTAGAGGTCCCCAGTACGAATGAAAAGGACCGGTGGCTCTTACAACGGCGACTCCTTCCACACGCTCTACGACAGGATGTCTTTATAGCGGAAGGGAAGGTAGATGTCGGAGAACTGGATTGGGCTTTTTACAATCTCGGCATCATTTACTTCGACCAAGGTAAGCTGGCCGAGGCGGAGAAGATGTACATCCGGGCCTTGCAAAGCTACGAGGAAGCATGTGGTCCGGACCACACATCCACCCTCGATACGGTTAACAATCTAGGCCTACTCTACGCCGATCAAGGCAAACTAGGTAAAGCGGAGAGGATGTATATACGAGCGCTCAAAGGCTATGAGGAGGTGCTTGGACCGGACCACATATCGACACTGGATACCGTCAACAATCTAGGCAACCTCTATGCCTACCAAGGCAAGCTAGCTAAGGCGGAGAAGATGTGCATTCGGGCGTTGCAAGGTAAGGAGAAGACACTTGGACCAGACCACATATCGACCCTCGATACGGTCAACAATCTCGGCAACCTCTACGTCTACCAAGGCGAGTTGGCCGAAGCGGAGAAGATGTATATTCGGGCGCTGCAGGGTAAAGAGAGGGCCCTTGGACCTGACCATATATCGACACTCTCGATGGTTAACAACCTAGGCAACCTCTACAAGAACAGAGGCAAGCGAGCCGAGGCGGAGAAGATGTACATTCGAGCACTGCAGGGCAAGGAGAAGGCACGTGGACCGGACCACACTTCGACCCTCGACACGGTGCACAATCTAGGCCTGCTCTACGCTGACCAAGGTGAGCTAGCCGAGGCAGAGAAGATGTACAGTCGAGCCCTACAAGGCTACGAGGCGGCCCTCGGTGTCGAGCTTATGCGGTCATATATGCCCGCGTTGAACACCATGATCGCCTTTGGTGATCTGTACTCGCGAACAGATCGCAGAAACATGGCGAGAGTAATGTATACTCGAGCATTATCTGGATATATTGCCATTCAAGGGCCTTCTTCGGAATGGTGTGGTAAAATCAAGCACCGGCTTCAAGCATTGCAACTTCCATCAGCTGAGCCCGAGACTCTGGATGAGCAGAACGGAACTGGAAAGCCTGGGACAAGATCTCGTCCACGGAGAGATTTTCGCAAACCAAGAACGTGACTAATGGTGGAATCTGCAAATCCATATGCATATATTCCCAAGTGTGAGACTGGTATGTATATATTCTTAGGCTCCGATATAGGACATGATGCTTTGCGTGCTGCCGAAACACTAATCAAAAATCGCAATTGCGGTCTAGTAGGTTGGCCCCCGTTTGCAAATATTCTTGCCCGCGAGCCTGCGGATCCGTCCTCTGGTTGGAAAGGGAGGGTATTCAACTCAGATCATGGTTTCTGAAGTGGCAGAAAGGAGACGATACCTTCCCGAGCGTGGAACTTTGCTAACGTTTGCTGATGTCTCAAAGGAGACGACTGGGCACCGTTCTGGTCATCGTGATTTTAGAGGACTCGCATGGGTGACAATCTAGTCTGGTACGGGGTATCGCGTGGTGGCCAATAAAATAACCTCAAAGTGTTGCCCCTTTCGAGATCTTCGTCGACATGATCCTCTTTCAATTTGGCATTGTGGGGGTGGGTACAGCAGCTCAGCTAGACTACACAGTATATGCAAGGGCTCTCAGACCTGGAAGGCCGGGATATTGCGGAAAGTATCTCCTGTATACCGGCCACTGGATCGCATCGCGCTATCACTCGTCGATTTGGCATATCCCACTACTGTGCCTGGATATCTGGATACTCCACTTGCATATCCTAACTCCCCGCTGGCACCCGATTGGTGGCAATCCCAGAGACCGACAGCTCCCAGGCGGCGACACCCAATGGGGTCCTGAACACACCAGCATGCATTGGTCGGAATAGCAAAAGCAGGGCAGTCGGCAAGAAAACGTCCGACACCGCAATCGGAAACCATGTTCTTCGTCTCAAGACACCGTCCGCACGATTTGCTCAGGACTAAACTGCCCTTACACTATCTATTGGGCTCAAAATGTCGAGTAAACCAGTCTAGGTCAGTATCCAGCGTGAACTCGCTGAGGTCAATCTCCATGGGAAGCTCTTTCTGCCCAATCGCCTGGTGTGAGGACCGTACCGGGAATAGGTCTTGCTGATTGCTGGCCGAGGCGAAAGGATCGTAGCTATTCGCACTTGGAAGAATGGAACTCGCATCGAGGTTATGAGATGCTTGATGACCAAAAAAAACATCAGCATCCTTCTCAACGTGAGGCGGCTGTGGGGGTTTGCGAGATGACTCGGGGGAAGAACTTACACATGCTGAGCACCGCCAAAGCTAGCTGCGACAGATAGTCGACAATGCGCTGGACCACCCGATTCCCCCGGTCAAGGTTCTGCAAGGCTTCGATGGCCATGTTGAGGTAGATTGCCGAACTCTCAAGAAACTTCCACTGCGAGGGTGGAATGTCGCCTTCACTGCCAATCTCCTTGGGAGAAACAAGCAAGCCTGCGATTATAACGAGACTGGCATTGAATGCTTCCAGGTGTGACCGTGTAAGCAATCCAATGCTTTCGATACAGATGTAAAGGGTACTTACTGTAAAACAAGGAATAGTTCCAAGCCCCAAGGAGATCACGACGCCACCCGTTGGAAAGTACCACGGTGTGGACGATCGAAATGATAATCATGGCAGAGTCCACGCAGTTTTCGACGCTGCTGATACAGACCTGGTGCATCATGTTCGTCTCGGCGTCGTTGGTGACCCCTCCGTGCACGTCCAGCAGTTTCTCCAGGATGGGTCGATGAAGCAGGATGTGGAGGTTGTGGAACCGAAGGGAGAGCACCAAGTTGAACCTTTCCGTGATCTTGTCCTTTGCTTCCAATTTTTCCAGGTCTTGCGAACAAAGCGGAGTGTTACACACCCGTAGGCTCAAAGAAGGGAGGATTTGATTCTTCCACTCGTTGAGCTGCGTCTCCCCTCTGAGTGTGAGAGAAATAATTTCCGCCACGGGGAGAAACTCCTCGAGGCCGAGATTTTGCCCGTAGCATGTATCGATGATTTGATACATGACACTGTACAGGGCTCTGTTGGGGAGTATTGTTATCGTTCTGTCCTCAATTATTGTAGTCTGAATACTTACATGGTTGCTCGGAAGTACATTGCATCCATCCGTTGCCTAACGTCCGTCCTGGGAGTTTGCCCCATGACCTGTATATCGGCGGTCGGAAGCTCAAGCTTCACGTACTTTTCAGGAATCATACAGGGCCGGCCATAAGTCATGCTTAATGTGCTTAGACGGGGCTGTTAGCCGAAGTAGGAGCGCATTGGGATTGCGTGTGACCACTCACCGATCGAGGAGGATGCAGCCGAACCAGACGCGCTTTCGAATCTCGCTCTCTAATGGGGAGAAGTCCTGATTTGTTCGTGGTGAATGGAGACCCAACTGAAACGCCGTTGTGACGGCCAGCCCGTGAACAGTCCAGGCACGGACGGACTTTTGTGTGCCTTGCAGATACTGGCCCACAATGAGCAAGTATTGCACTACACAGCGTTAGTGTGTCATGTATGCGAATGCTGATATTTTGCGGCTGCTCAATAGGAGTTTTCACACCTAGTTCAAGACTGATGTTTGCTCTTGATTCCCTCTCACATAGGCCATTAGCTCTTTGATAGTACACGTCTGACTCTGCAATTCTCTCCTCCGAGGAAGTGTAACCGTCGACAGTCAAGGTGGTGGCCATGGCGAGAATCATGTTCAGCAGGCCGAGCCAGGTTCTCCGAGCCATTGTGAAGTTGGTGCGCTTCAGCTGAAAGTATGTTTCGCAAAAGGACTCCTCGTGAATGAATGGCAGTAGCTGACCGGTCTTCTGGAAGTACTCCTTGATCAGCCTCCAGGTGTAGGCTTCAGGTGGCAACCCGTAGATGTTGACACTCCTCCGTGAGCGATCCAAGGCGCTTTCGTTGATCTCGCCATGCACGTAATGCGGACGAGTGACTCGCATCCACTCAGCGGCGGCTGTCAGCGAGTTTGTCCCGGTTCCGATAGCGTGACCCTGCCCGCTTGCCTTGGCCAGCGCCAGTGAGATATGGCGCACAAAAGCGACGTTGGACGACGGACCTTCAGTGTCGGTGAGCAGCCAGGCGCATATTTGCAGGAGATTGTGAAGGGACACCCTACCAAAATAGCCACTGTCTTCTTCATCTGTGAACTTGATGGCTCCCATGCCGTCGATGGCATCTTCGCTAGTATCGATTTCGCCCATTTCCGCGTCTGCAGAATACTGAGCTGATGGTTCCGGAGGGAGAGCAGAGTCTGGTGCCGAAGGCAAAGAGCTATTTGCAAACTGGTGGACGTGGGCCGTGTCGGTCTGGGACGCCGACTGAGTCTGTTGCATAGCCTTCATGGTACTTTCGATGTCTTCAAGCCTTTGTTCCAGCCGTGACAGGTAACTAGGTGAAAATAGGACAATTAGTGATGCTCAGCAACTGAGGGTTTCATCGAGCGTACTTCCTTCCCACAGTCAGGCTCGTCGTTGTCCCAGCTTGTTCATACGAGCACTCACATCCCATCTCGTTGCAGAGGGAGCATTTTGGCCGACCTCCATCACACTATTCGATGTTAGCTCGGCTGCAATATGGGAAGGAGTCCACTCCCGTGGGACAACCTACACGCGACTTTCTGTGTCTGCAATTACTACATGCCAACGCAATCCTGCGTCGTTTTCTGGGACGAGCAGCAGACCCAGGTAGGTCGCTCTGAGCAGGTGTCGACCTCTCCCTAGACGGCGAGCTCCACTCCTGTTCGGCATCATTTGTTTGGGAGGCCATTTCACGCTGTTAGGTGGGGCCCTTGACCAGCCGCTTCAGGCAGATTGCACACAAAATGAAGGGTCGACGGAAGTTCGCTCGACGGGAACGTCGGGGAGGAAGGAGATATTTAACTTGGAGATCTGGTGGATAAGCCTGCGGAGAAAAGTCGGGGCGGAGTCCGGGGATCCTCCTTCGCTCCCCTTTCTACCCCACTTTTATGGGGAAGGGTTGGACGGAATATTGGTAGCCCGGTCCCAAGGATCCGGTCCCAGGCTCGAGTATTCGTACGAAGCCGTCAGGGAGCATTTTCACGTAACGACTTATCTTCTTGTCTAGGTGTGCGTCTACTCATGACTCCACCGCTTCACAATGATGCCTTCACACCCCTTCCCCATTTGCTGATGAAGCCCAGAAGTTCCTGAGCGACCTTTTCCTTGTGTGTCCAGCTCAGAAAATGAACCCCTCCTGGGAATTTGACCAATCTGGTATCTGCTGCGTTTGTGAACAGCTTGATTTCTTCCTCCGCGTTCTTGACACTGAAAACGACATCATCTGTTCCCTGGTTCTCGTCAGTCCAGGGCAGATCACGCCTAGGGTGATCATCACATACCTGCAACCACAGAACGGGACAGCGGATATACGGCAGTCGCTCGTGCAATCCATCTCGACCAGCAAGATTGACCGCTGCCTGGCAGATCCTTCTCTTCCCAGAGTCTCCACTGTAGTTGTGTCTGATGGTCTCGGACCAGAAGTCCTTAGTCTTTTGGTCAACAGTCTTTCCGAAACCAATGTCCATCAGGAAGTCGCAGTATCCACTGCCTGGTTCGAAATCGTGAGCTGGAGCAAAGTTGCCAGCCAACGTCACAAGGCCCGAAGTCGCTGCTGGGCCATCCCAGCAACCAAGTTCGCGGCTTCGGGGCGACTCAGAGTCCATCGATGATCCGATCGCGATAATGCCTTGAATCTTTACGTGAGTGTCAGTACCTGTTGCTCTTGGGCCAGTCAGATGGGGTGGTATACCCTCCCTGGCGCAAGAAGCGCCATTCTCGCAGCAATCCACCCGCCCTGCGAAGTCCCCGCAGCAAATACCTGATCAACTCCGAGTTTGTCCAAGGCCTGGAGTGTCATGATGGCAGTATCCCAGTATGTAAATGTTTCTGCCTTCTGCGGAAACGTGTGCCCGTGTCCGAGAGGCTCGAACGCTACGAGATTAGCCGCGTTAAGGAGAGCTTCATTCTCAAACTCGGGTAGGTAGTAGTCCACCGTGGTAGTGAATGGATTGAACAAGACAAGAGTGGGCTTCGAATGATCCAAGATCTCTTGCGACGGACGATAGCCAACTTCGATCCCCCCTAGGTGCGACACATGTAGGGTCTTCGTACGTAGAACCATGATTGCCGCAAGGATGCAAGTCCGCTAGTTGCAGTAAGTCCAGCGGCTTCACAAAAAGGATGCTGCGAAGTATGACCTAAAGATGACTTCGTACAGGATATTCTTTCTGTCAATTTCTTCGAGAAGTCAGTCTTTGCATTAAGTACGTAGCATCTCACCTGGAACGTAGGGACCCCGCGTAACCGCGGAGAATTCCCGGAGACGATGGGCTTTGTGACGGCAGAAATGAATATCACTTTTCCTATCTCCCCGACGTCCGACCTTGGACCGAAGTGCCAATGCCAGGGACAGCATCGAAGACAGTATATTAAGACATAAACAAAGCTGCTTCACATAGCATAATACAAAAGATTTGGCTCATTATAAGATCCCAATCCAACCAACACGCTAAGTTTTCAGCCGAGTCTTTAGTCTTACGCTTCTTCTCAATTCTAATTGCAAAAGCGCTGCAATGGTAAGGCATCATTGCCTCTGGAGTCGAATGGAAGTTCTAATGGGAGTAGGCACACCATCAAGATGTTCACGTCGGTATCGTGGGCGCAGGGATTGGTGGCCTTGCCGCGGCCATTGCCCTACGACGGGCTGGAGCCAAGGTGACTGTTCTGGAAGCTGCAAAGGAACTCGGCGAGGTATATTTTGTTCACTTTAACAATAATCTCAGACCTCTGACTAATCATACTGTCATGCAGATCGGTGCCGGAATTCAGATGACACCTAATGTATCAGTGCTCTTGCAGCGGTGGGGTGTTGACACTGTGATTGGCAAAAATTTGGTGCAGTTTGAGGAATTGAACATGCGCCGAAAGGATGGAACACTTGTTGGCCACACCAAAATCCCAACCTTGGAACGCAGCCTCGGGCGTCCCTGGTGGGTTGTCCATCGCGCTCACCTTCACGATGGTTTGGCAACCGTTGCGCGTAGCTTGGGAGCCGATATCATCATTGACGCTCAGGTCACACGTATTGAGTACCAAACTTCAGATAAGGTGACGGTGGAGACATACAGGCACGAGACTTACACTTTTGATCTGCTTGTCGGCGCAGACGGGATCAACAGCATTACGAGAAAGACGTTGTTCCCAAATGTCCACCCGGAGCCGCCGTCTACGAATTGCGCATACCGAGCTATCGTGCCTTACGACAGAATTCGAGAAGACCCGGTCGCCAGGGAGTTGATCGAAAAGAAGACGATGGAAGTGTGGATGGCTGAGAACGCATACATCATCACCTATCCTATCAGCGATGCTAAGCTCTTCAACCTGGTCCTGTCACATCATCGCCCAGAGAAACTGCGTGCCACGCAGAATGATGTCCCAATTGAAGAACTATGGAACGAGTACAAGGATTTTGATCCTCGTATTCAGCGCATTGTCAACATGATCGACAAGACTGTAAGAATTGATTCGAACTCCCAGGGAATTGATTCATTGTACTGACCTTGCGTTAGTCTCGATGGCCCCTTATGGTCACCGGACCCATGAGGTCGTGGTCTTCTCCTCGACAAAATGTCGTGCTCATGGGAGATGCAGCCCACTCCATGGTTAACCACATGGCCCAAGGTGCGGCCACTTCGATGGAAGATGGTGCCTTCCTGGCTAGATGCATCGCCAAAGTCGTTGAAGGCAAAGTCCGCATCGACCAGGCTATCAGGGTTTACGAGGAAGAGCGGATGCCGAAGGCCTACATGAAGCAGCAAGTCTCGTACTTGAATGGTGCCATCTGGCACTTACCAAACGGCCCTGAGCAGCGCGCCCGAGACGCTGCCATGGCGCCGGAGCTTGAAGGCAAATACTACGTCCGCAGCAGCAATCTCTACGGCGATCCACAAACCGTCCTCGAAGTCTATGGCTATGATGCCGAGGCTCACGCCGAGACTGCCCTGAACAAGTACCTTAATGAAGGCAAGGAGCCCGCTCACCCCGAAACTGGCGTGACTGAAGCACTACAACGCAAATACATGGACTGGTTTGTGGCCCGGCAAGAGTCTCACTCAGAACCTCAGCTTCAGGCAAGGCTATAATTCTCCAAGCTCAACTGAGAAAGTTAGTTTGAGGTGTTTTTGGGGTGGCAGATTAGCATAGATATGTATTTAGCTTCACCAGTATTGCCAAATTGCGCAAAGATTCACTATCATCCTAAAGTGAAGCGTCAAAATGTGGGCCTCTCAGACGGCTTTTGCTAGACGCAAAGGCGATGGTGCGTCCATTTGGAGTGAGTGAGGCACACGGCCAGGAGACATGGCAAATACTTCCAATCTTGATCTGGCGAGACAGAGGACTACCCGATTCCGTTATTCATAGACCGAGATCTGGAGACAAAGGGTTACCTGCCGCCTACGGCTTTTGAAAGCTGTGCGACGCTCTTTGAATTCCTGCATCCACTCGACAACAACAGGTGCTCCCTGTTCTAAGTGTGATCAGGAATTCAGCAGCATTTCAATCTTGAGGTCTCGAACTACGAGCACTCTGATTGCTAATGATAAACGGAGACAAAATCATGTTAGAAGGGGAAAGACGGAGCGTTTGCACGAGAACTAGGAGTTTAGGACCATAGGAGGAGGTGCGAACAGATTCGAAAATACCCATTATCCTGCTCATGCGTATCCTAGCGACCAGAAAGTCTCGATGTTTTTACCCGTATCTTCATCCACGTACGGCGGAGGGTCTCTCAGGGTGACACTTTCTCCATGAATCTCGGCAATCTGCCCAGTCAGGGAAGCATCAGATACCAGTTGTTGAACTCCTCTCGTGAGCGTAGAGAGCGGCGTGACGATCATCTTGCTGAAGAGATCTCTGCTAGGAGCGATGTTGGTCTCTACACGTAACATTAGTCTCTCCTCGACGCGCTGTCCGCAACACGTACCTATGACAGCGGGCGCCAGGGCATTAATCTGAATTGCTTGTCGACTGAGGGACCGTGCTAGCGAGCGGACCAGGCCAACCACAGCAAATTTAGATGTTGCGTAAATTGGAGCGACAGGCAGGGGATATAGACCGGCATTTGAGGCTGTGCAGATGATGCTTCCTCTTGAGGGATGTGCCATGCCCTCCACCGAGTTCTTCTTGATGTAGTGAATAGCTAACTTGACCGCTGTTGGACTGGGTGAGCGAGTCGCAATTTCCAGACAAAGTGAGATCTTACTGTATATCGTCCCCGTTAAATTTACATCTAGAGTTGTCAACCGGGGCTTGGAGGGCTTCTCTTCGTCTACGATAAGTGAGTCCTCTTTCGAGATTCCGGCATTGGCCAGGACAATGTCGATGCGACCGTGCTTTTTGAACACCTGCTCAAAAACAGTCGCCAATTCGTCCCAATTCGAAATGTCGGCGTTTTGGAAAGTCAGTTTGCCGCCAGCATTACGATACTCGGCTGACAACTCTCGGACGATCTCTTCACCTTGTCGATTGATATCCACCACCGCGACGTTGGCTCCTTGCTCTGCGAAAGAGCGAGTAATACCGAGTCCAATACCAGAAGCGCCTCCTGAAGACCCATTCGCTTAGCCAAGAATAATTCTATAAGGCCTCCATAAATCAAAAGATTTCAAGTCGATAAACTTACCTGTTACGACCACGACCTTCTTTGAACCCGCCATTATGCAAAGTGTGCTGTGTCTTGACGAATGTTGAACTGGCCCTGGGACTCGCTGCACTCGGTGTATTATGCGCTGGGGCAAAACACGAACGGAACAAAGCCCAGCTGTGGCAGCAAGCTCCCCTTTAAAGGCGATGTTTCTCCTATGGTGCCTTCTCCACGCGTTTAACTGTCGGAACTAAGCCGATGGCAGCAGAACGCAAATCATGGTGCGGATCCGTTATAATTCTACTGTTTTCACTACGATCTACCCTGCGTCCGAGAAGGCTCTTGCCTCCTGGAGACAGTGCACCACGTCAGCGTCACATGGTTGGCTCTATAAAAACGCTCGGCGGCACAAGTTTTTCTGGTGTTACCAGAGGATGAACGTCGTGATTCCAGACGATGAGAATGTCATTCAAGGCTTGATCACACTCACAAATCCGGAAGAAACGCCAAATCTTCCAAGTCCCTACTCCACCCATCCAAAATTTACAAACCATTCCATCTCTAGTCTCACGAGGCAGAGATTCTTTCCATCTATGCGATTTTAGTCGCACCGATGCTATCATCACTTAAGACGAAGCCCTCGGGCAGATCCGGAAGCATTGAAAGATAGCCCTTATTGCCACTGCTGAAATTGGGGTTGAACTTGACCTTGGTGTGGTCCAACTCTGCCGGTACGAAGTGGGCTTTATATTCCACTGGGTTGGTTTCCCTCGTCGCCCATGCTTCTACGGTCGCACGAGCAGCTTCCGGTAGAACGACTTTAGCCGGGCACTCATACCACTGTACCACGAGTTAGCAAGAAGTTGCGTCTAGATTACGAAAAAACGTACCGCCGGAGTGTGGACAAACGCAAGCATTATACGGGGGTCGACTGCTGGGTTGGACAAGCCGGCGTGCCACAGACGAAGGTCACGAAGGACAACCGATCCCTTCTTGACAACCGGTTGAATCGGAGGGGCTGTCATTTTTCGTTCTTCTAAAAGTTCATCCTTAATACCGAATTCCATCTTTTCGGCAGGTGTGCCAGGAGGATACTCGGCGCCACAATTACGGTGGTCGGCGAAAGTGGTGTCACGATGGGTGGCGATCCAGAGCTCAGTGCTTCCATTCGCGGGAGAGACATCGCTCAGATAGTAGTTGGTGACGATGGCAAACGGGAATGTGCCATGGTTGAAAGTGAGATCGGCATGGACTCGCTGTCGGGCGTTGAATCCACCCAGAGCAGTATTGCCGTTGACATAGTTGACGCAAGGCCTCGGTCCCAGGATGTAGGACAGCACATTCTCTGCCGGCGAATTCGCCCAGACATCCTCGTACATTAACTCTGGTGACAGTGGTGGCCCTTGAGACATGTTGCCAATTGGCTTGCCATCGGTGGAAAACTGCAAGGAAGTCAAATTTGGCTCCCAAGTCTCAAAATGAAATGCAGACAAAGACTTACATCGTTGAAGTGAGTGGTTGGAAGTTTGGCCATAATCAAGGCTTCCTCCGAAAGCATCTTGTTCAGTGTGTCCACATGCTCTACGTCGACTGCGTTTTCAAGGACAACAATACCATCACGGTGCATCGCCGCGATAGCTTTACCCAGGTTGGGTAATTCCAAAACCCCCGATGTCCTTTCCTCATCGGAAAGCTGTACAATCACCACCTCTTGGTGCTGGAAAGAAATCTTTGCTGAAGGCATTTTGTGTATTGTCGCGTTGTGTCTGGAGGGGAGCGTGTTGAATTTAGAATGGGAATGAGGAATCTACAAGGACAAAAATACTAGAATCAGAATCAAACGCGCTTTACCAATCTCATCTATGGACGTCAGACCATAAGTGTTCGTGTACTCATCCCACGAGGGGGCACTGACTTGTTGCCACCGAGCGAGCTCCGCCTACAATGCTGCTCCCCGCGGCTTGCCTCAGAGGAACAAGGACAATGTCAGCCGGAACAGAATCGATAGTGTGGAGGGAGTCTGGAGGCTTTGGGTCCATACCAAATTTTGCTTGAATCTTTTTACCGACCGATTGGAAAGATGCCGAACCGAACCGAACCGAACCCACGAGTGGAACAAAAAGCGCTAGGTCAGGGACACTTTTGGAGTGCTTGCAGGGTGGTTAGGCCCATGCACGTGTGGAGATAGGAAATTCATTGAACATCCGAGATTTCTGGAGGGTTGGAATTGAGACCAGGGGTTCAACAAATATTCAATGCTAGATGGATTGATATCTGAGGTGTTTCAGGAATTTTATTTGAGGCCTTGAGTGAGACCGTACGGAAACGTAGGCTTCGAGACCACGAATTATCAAGCACCAATACTACTATCGAAGCCACCATGCCTGTCTCGTTGGCTATCTTGGGGGCTGGAATTTTTGCTCGCGAAGGTATGTCCATGTGAGGCTGACGATATGACTCCAACTAACGTCCACGCAAAGAATACATTCCAGCCATCAACTCTCTCAAAGAAGTAGAACTCAAAGCCGTCTATTCAAGATCTCAAAAGTCCGCCGACGCTCTTGCTGCCCAGAGTGAAAGCAAACCAGATGTCTATTATGACTCGCCCAGTACCGCCGGCAAATCTGCTGACGACATGCTCAAGCGCACAGATATCGATGCAGTGATAATCTGTGTTCCAATCCGTGCTCAACCCGAATTCATTCGGAAGGCAATGAAGGCTGGAAAGCATGTCCTCAGCGAGAAGCCCATCGCCAAAGACGTCGCTACGGCAGAGGAGCTGATCAAATGGCGTGAGGAGAATTCCATCAAGTCAATCTGGGCTGTAGGAGAGAACTTCCGCTTCATCGCCCCGGTGGTCTACGGTCATGCCAAACTGAAGGAGATTGGCGGTCAAGTAACCACCTTTAGCATGAATCTGTTCACACTGGTTGATGAGAATGACAAGTTCTACCAGACAGAGTGGTAAGTTGACAGTGTTTTTGTTTCAGGACAAGACCAGATTTGCTAATGGCTAGGAAGGCGCAAAACTCCCGAATACCAGGGAGGCTTCTTGCTCGATGGAGGAGTTCACTTCGTTGCTGGAGTGAGACATCTCCTCAGTGCGGTGGGTGAGGATATTACTTCTCTAGCGGCCTACACGGCACTTTTGGAACCGAAACTTGCTCCCGTCGACACTGTCCATGGAATTCTGAGGACAAAGAGCGGACGCAGTGGTTCTTTCAACGTGTCCTTTGGCACTGAGTTCAAGGGGGGCTTTGAGATCTTCGCCGCCACCAACAAAGGTTCAGTTTCCGTCAGCCCGGTGTCAGTCAAGGTCGTACGAAAGGACGCCGATGGAAAGAAAGTGGAAGAAGAAGAGAGCTTCGCCTTTGGTGCTGGGGTCAAGCCTGAAGTCGAGGCATTTGCTGCAAGCATCACGTCGGGTTCTCCTGATCCTCGACAAACTCCCCACCAGGCACTCGGCGACCTGATGGTCTTACAAGGTCTCTTGGAATCGGGCGAACAAAATGGTGCAGTCAAGAGAGTTAAACTATAGACTGCTTACTCATAAAATCCAAAGACTGAGAGTAGGTTGTGCTCAAAGGTTTCCGTATAGCTCACAAGCCATGGTTATTCAGTCATGTAGGCGAAGAGGCTGTAGTGTCGATGAATTAAGCAGATATAGCGGCACGTACCCGACTATCGCTTTGACAATAAATCTTGTACAGGACCCAAATGGTTGAGTCTCGTGCTGAAAGCCGACGATTTTAACACGTCAGTGTGTGATGACCAACCTGCAAAACTACGTCTCTACACCTAAAGACTAGAGCTAGTCGTGGCATACTCCACAGCACGGGAACAGATGCTAAATTGGAGCTAACCGGGCATAGCTACCGCCACGTCGGCAACGAACCGATGTCCGATTGTTCTCTCCAGGGCCCATTTGCGGGGACTGGGAGGACAGCTACCACGCGTCTTCTCCTAGGATCTTTGAGAGGCTTCTCATGTATATGGCGTCTTGGAAGATCTTCCGGATTTGTTCCTTCCCAGTGGGACGGAAACCAAGTATAGACAAACCAGACACAGAAGCTCATCCGAGATCGGCAGGTTAATAAGCAATTGTAGTCCCAGGACGACGACGATGTCAATGTTTTCTGATCTCTCGTGCATTCAATCCATTGATTTCATAGAGTCATTATTTTTGATTTCTTGGGCACATCCGGTACACTCCAAAGCATTGCGGTTACCAAGATAAACATCAAAATCATGTCGGCAAAACAGCGCCTCAGCCTCAGCACGGGCTGGAAATGGAGGCTGGCCAACTGCAACGGGGCCTCTATTCCAGACGACGCCTCATCAATCAAAGAATGGAATCCAGTAAAGAGGTTTCCATCCGTCATCCAGATGGAACTTCTCGACAAAAAATTGATCCCAGACCCCAATATAGGTCTAAACGAACGACTTATCCAATGGGTAGGAGAAGTGGACTGGGAGTACGCAACTACTTTTCCTACGCCAAAGATTCAAGATATTGCGGAATTGGTGTTCGATGGCCTTGACACCTTCGCAACCGTAAAGCTGAATGGAAAAGAAATCTTGCGGTCTGAAAACATGTTCCTTCCTCAGCGAGTCGGTGTGAAGGACTCGTTGAAGCCAGAAGGCCAGGAAAATGAACTTTCCATCCTTTTCGACAGCACCATCAAGATTGCGAATGCAATGGAGGTAAAGTTTGGTGCGAGAACTAGCTGGATGAGGGACAAGAGGCGGATGCATCTCCGTAAAGCCCAGGTGAGCTACGCAATGAACCGCCCCACCCCTCGAGCCTCTTCTAACTATTGATAACAGTGCCACTGGGGCTGGGACTGGGGCCCGAGAGTTCTCACGGCAGGCCCTTGGCTGCCTGTGCATCTGGAATCTTATACGGCTAGGCTCGATAACATCCATGTCACCTCAGATCTGGCGGCCGATCACTCTTCTGCGACTGTCACAGTCGAGTTGCAAGGATCAGGGGGATCCGCCTCGAAGATAGCCAAGATAACCATCCTCGACCAGATCGGAACAGAAGTCGCCAGCTCGAAGGTCTCTCTAGACACGTCCCAGAAAGGGTCGGGAAAGGTCACCATCCCGACACCCAAGCTTTGGTGGCCGAACGGCCAGGGAGCTCAGCATCTCTACACGGTCAAAGTAAAACTCCTAGACGCATCATCCTCTTCGCCGATCGACGTAATGTCCTCGAGATTTGGAATCCGCACCATCAAGCTAATTCAGCGACCTTTGACCGACGCAGAGGGCGAGACATTCCTGTTCAACGTCAACGGCCGTGACATCTTCTGCCAGGGTGGTAACTGGATTCCTGCTGACAATCTCCAACCGACTATGACCCAGAAGCGATATAAAGATTGGATACAACTAGCGAAGTTCAGCAATCTCAATATGATCCGCGTCTGGGGAGGAGGCATTTACGAAGCGGAGGAATTCTTCAACGCTTGCGACGAGCTCGGAATGCTCGTCTGGCACGATTGCGCCTTTGCGTGTGGTAACTATCCAATCCATCAAGGATTCCTGGACAGTATCAAAGCCGAGGTCGAGGCGCAGATAATCCGGCTTCGCAATCGAGCATCGCTCGCGTTGATTTGCGGCGGTAACGAAGACTTTTTCCTTAACGACATGTTTGGTATCAAGTACGACTTTACCGATCTTACGGGTCCATACGAGGACACCGCGTTCCCTCAGCGAAAGATATATCTCCAGATTCTCCCCGAAATCTCTCATCGTCTCGCCCCAGAGACTAAGTACTGGCCTTCGTCTCCGTGGGGTGGCAAATCGGCCTACGACACCACCGGGGGAGACATCCACCAGTGGGCAGTCTGGCACGAAGGAAAATCCTACCAGGAGTATAAGAACCTCTCGGGTCGATTTGTGTCTGAGTTCGGTATGCACGGATTTCCCATCAACCGCACACTAGACGTTTTCGCACCCGACTCTCAGGACCGCCATCCCCAGTCGCGGGCTATCGACTGCCACAATAAAGGCAGCGGTGCAGAAACCCGCATCGCGCGCTATCTCGCGGAGAACTTCCGCTACGATCTTCGCCTGGAGAACTTTGCGTACTGCTCACAGCTCCTACAGAGTGAGGCGTACGGATATTCTCTACGCGACTGGAAGCGTCTATTCAAGGGTCCCCAACGAGAAGAGTGTGCCGGCGCTATTATCTGGCAGTTTAACGATATATACCCCGTCACTAGCTGGGCGTATATCGACTACTATATGCGCCCTAAGCCGGCCTTCTATACGATCCGTCGCGAGTTTGCGCCCGTCAACGTTGGCATCGACCGCACCCCCAGAAGTCGCTGGATCGACGAAGACCATCCTCTTAGTTCTTATAGACCTAAGTTCGAGATCTTCGCTCATAATAATACCACCGAGTCGGTCGAAGCCGTGCTGGAACTGAAAGCGTTCGACTTCCACACCGGAAAATGGGCAGATGCTGGTCCTGATGCCCGCCGTAAAGTCACCCTGACCGCTGGATACAACACCGAGCTGGGGACTCTGGAGCCTCAGCCTTCGTGGACAGAAGAGAGCCTGATTATTCTCGAAGCCAGCCTTCTGGATGCGGCCACGCAAAAGTCTCTGGCCAGAGTGGTCAATTGGCCCGAGCCATTCCGCTACTTGCACTGGCCTGCCGACACCAAAGTGACAGTATCGGTTGAAAATGCTGACGCCGACACTGTTGTAGAAGACATCGAGTTCGAGGATATTGTCACTGTTGTGGCGAATCATGCGGTCAAGGGTGTCTGGCTGGAGCCTGTGTACGATGGCACCGAGAAGGAAACCGAACCTGAGCCTCTGTGGCAAGATAACATGCTGGACTTGCTGCCCGTTCAGGAAGTCAAGATCCTTGTCAAAGGGTTGAGGAGCAGGCCGATTAAAGCGAGGTTCCTAGGAGACTGGGAATTGCAGCAACACTCTTGAGTTTCGAGTTGAATACGTACCTAGCCAACGCTCGACAAAGATGTCTCGAATTTTGCCAATCCAATTTTAAAAGTATAGAATAGAATAGAATGATGATATAGAAGATACAGATAGACGAATCATGAAAATTTTTGATTTTCAAATCCACTCGAAAAGCCCCCAGGCGTCCTCAAGGAACCGTACAGCACAGCACATATAAGGTATCACTGTTTGAAGCGTAGACCTGAGTAGGCTCCTTTTTGGTGTAGTCACTTTTTCACTAGTTACAGACATAGCTATACCGAGTCCCATTAACGAGCCCGATAACAGCCTAAAAGCGATATATACAGTGTATAGTGAACACTAACGACGTTTCTATGATCCGCTTTTGGTCTTTTCACGCAATCCAGTACAGATGTTTTGTGGTGGAACTCGTCGTTACCTGCACAAGCCTTCCAAAATTGCACCTCAATGGGGTCCTGCTGCCCTGAAACAACGGCGTCCTTGCTGACGCAGTGGTCGCCGCCGACTAGGGCTGTTTTCAGATGCACAATGTATTCATTCTCTGATGCTCCGAAGGAAAAAAAAGCTAGGATAGGGCCACCCAGTGCCTCTATATACCCTAATCAAGCAGGAATTTGGCCCTGTGCATGGTATGCAATCGGGTCCGATGGAATGCGAGCAATCTCCGTTGTTTAAGACAAAGGAAAGGGTAAACGAGTGGACGCCCCACGAGGTTTTACTAGTCCACGAGGCTGTGGATCGAGTTGTTGTCCTGTTGGCATGTGTGCATTCCACACATATGCCGAGACGCCGATTTATGCATTCAATGCATCCCTAACGTTCAACAAGGGTTACCTGCTCGAAATTACTGTGTAACATATCGTAGGCCGTAAATTCTCAAGAGCCAGAATATCGAGACAGGTAGGACAGGTCGGCGTCGGTCCGGCCACCAGAAATCAAGCTTGGCCCATGTCCGTGAGGAATCGAGTTCGTCCGCACTAGGGGCGGATGCGCCTGGTTGGGGCTGATATTGGTTCCAGTAGTATGCTCGTAGACGGCAATTCCTTTTGCCATCATCGTATGGTCTATCTTATCGACGTAGCTTGCGATTTCTGCACTCGTCATCCAGATGGCAAGCAAGCTACGGCCTTTCCTGATTGCTTCGAGCTGAGAAGGTTGCTGGATCGCCGCCAACTCGGGGACACGGTATGTGCACAAGAGGAGCATGACTTGCGTATAAATCCTGTTGGGTTATGATTTTATGTTAGCGCAGCTTTATCGAATTATGAGAACCACCCAAGAAAACAACGGCAAAGGCATTACATACCCAAATAGATTAGCCAAGAGGAGCAGATGTCTCTCATGTACCAGCGATTCCACCGAGAAGATCGCCAGAACCGAAAACTCCAAAGATCGTGCCGCAGCCTGCAAATCTCGACTCATCTCCTGCTCGTCGTGGGCCTGGTTCGTCAAGAGCCTGACCACATGCGACCAGCTTAAGACCGAATTGATAGAGTAATACTGGCCGCGAAGGAAACCCTTGTGCAGATCTAAGACGGGCGAAAGTCCCAGAGGGAACTTGAGCTGGTTTGGCAAATGAGCGTACCATAGATCTATCTGTGATATGATCTCGTCAACCACCACGGGCGCATGCAGCGTGTTTGCATTCCAGCCGATGCCGGCGTGCGGATTCGACAAGATGCGGCGAAATGCCACCTCGGCGAGAAACCAGTACATGCCTGGCTCATCGTGGTCACTCAGGGGGAGCGGAACGAAGTCATGATGCGATTGGAGGAGGCATGCGCTATACGAGATGTAGGCTTGCAATTCGTGCTCGAGGAGATAGCAGGCCCAATAGGCACGGTAAGTCATGCGTTGCAGATCCGTGTCGGTCTCCAGGCGTTTCTTACATTGTACCAAGGCAACGACGCCCAGAGAAGCCTCGTGGATGGCATCGAATGCCTGCAAAGGCCGCAGACAGTAGAGGCAGTATAATCTGAGAGGCGAAAGGTCAATTTAGTAATTAGCATATCAAGATTGACCTGTTTCTTCTTCCAGTTGCAGAGGGGGACTGAGTGAACATACCCCATCAGGATGCGACATTGGATAGACAGGATCCCGTACCTCGACGATCGATCACAGCCAAGAATCTTGGATGCCACCTGGAAGTAATCGAGACCCGGAAAGTCGCCCGCATGGCTATCCTCCACGTGGTGCTCGGACCGTGTGAGGGCCCCCAGAGCGAGAACAAAGAGCGTCAGGCAGGTTTCTAGACTTTGGTCCGGGAACTGTGCATCGTAGGTGCGGGTGGTCATGTTCACGCAATCTTTCTGATCGAAGAGTGGACACCAAGGTAAGACATTGTGTGCGAACGAGTTTTGCAGTCGCCAGAGCGATCTCGTCGTGATGGACAAATCTGCTACTGTCAGGTGGCTGTTCTGGAAGAGAGCCTCGCCTTGCTTTGCCTGCCGCTCCAGGAAAGCTTCGTCGTCGTCGTCGTCAGCCAGCGGGTATAGGGGCAGAGGACACTGCTGACCCACGAGCCGGGACAGTCCCGATAATGTGAGACCGACTAGCGAGGACTCGTTTTGTTGGTGGCCATGTCTTCTCCTGCCCACTGGTGCACGACTAGCTGAAAGGGATGTGGCGGCTTCTAGACTGCGGATGCTAGGGTTTGCAGGGCTTTCTGGTTCAAGCGACCCGAACCACCGGCTGCCGGGTTTTTCTAGGAGTGTTTCAATGCGGTCGAGACGTGCTATGACATTCTGCCAGTGGCTGTAATTGACCTGCTCATCTTCAAGTTGATGGTCTTCGCCGTTCGAGGTCCTGTCGCTGGTCAATTATCATCCCGCATAGTGGTCTGGTTGACTCGAAATCCACCGCTGGATTTACGGGTAGAATTGCCACATTCACATACTTTGGAGCTTGGTTGGTGCTGATCACAGTCGTTCTGTAAATGCACGGGACGCCCGTCTGCAAACAGAACGAGCAAGAGGGTTTCTTTGCATCGCACCGCGTCTTTCGCGACCGACATAGTTCACAGGCGACCGAAACCCGCTTCTTGGGATAGTTGATCCGGCTCAAGTCGCGTAGAGGCCGATCATCGGAAGCATCAGTGGCAGGAGCAGTAGTGGTACCAGGATATGCTCGCTTCTTCGAATTGGGAGCCTGGAGCCCCAGACCGCCGCCTGCTCCTTCAGCAACATTTGCAGCAGATGGTACGTTCTCACTGAGCTCGGGTGTCGATCTGGCTTCCGAGGTATCTTTGTTGGCCTCCATAGTATTCTCCAGAGCTACAGAGTAAGCGTAGAATACACCGACGACAGAAGATTTGGAGAGGGCGAGGTGGGCTTTTTATCGGAACTTCGGTTCGGCATGACCACAGCTTGATCCGACCTGGGCTGGTGCTGGGGTGGGGTGGGTGGAGAAGTGCAACAGTCCAGGCCACGGCCATCTTTCTCTGGTCTAGTTGGGCGGGGTGACAGGAGTGACGGACCTGGAATTGGCTTTTCTGGAGTTGAACAAACCCACTGGAGCAACCTGGAGAAGACCCATTCTCTCCAGAATCCCCCAGGTTCTTTTCGCCTCCTTTTGGAAGACCACGCAGGCCTATACACACCCAAACGCGGTGCGTATAGTTCGCTATCCGATCGGCGAGCAAATTGGCCAAATTCGTGCATGGAAGCCAGAGCCCACACTTGATATAAAGAGTTGCTTCCTGGCCCTCCATCCGAAGTGCAAGCTGTTTTTCTCCCCTATGAGCTTTCCCGTTGAGTTGAAAACCATTTACCCCATCAATCAACCTCATAATGGGTGCCCAAATCGAGTGGGAGAAGATCCAACCTCAGATCAAATGGACAATCCTCAACAACCAGAAGCGCTTTGCCTGCTGGGCCATCTTCACCTCGATCGGGTCGATGATGCTGGGTCAGTACTACTTGAGTCTTCACTCTTGGTGGCGAGGGGTTGGCTTGCTGACATCTTCCCAGGCTTTGACTTTGGACTTTCTGGAACACTGACGGCATTTCCCCCCTTCCAACAGCAATATGGCATACCATATCCTGGCACGGCTTCTGGTTACCTCATCAGAGCCAGTATCCAGTCTGGTTGGTCGGGTGTCTCGACTGTTGGTGATATTGTCGGAATCATCATTTCTGGATATCTCCTCGAATGGATTGGAAGAAAGCACACCCTTGGAATTGGAGCCGTCCTTACCGCTGTGGGCGTCGGTATCGAGGTCGGTGTGCAGACCTGGAGAGGATTCCTCGGCGGTCGTTTGGTCAACTGTAAGACCCGAGTCTGGCCGTCAACACTGTATGATCCTGACTTAAGCCTTCTACAGCCATCGGTTTTGGCATCGTCTTTCTAGTCACACCCGTCTTCATTGGAGAGGTCTGCCGCCCTGAAGTTCGCGGAACTTTCCTCTGCATCATCAACGGCTCCATTGTCTTCGGGCAGTTCATTCTGGCGTATGTTTGTATCTGTTCAAAGACGACCCGAATTTGAAGTACTGACAAATGTAGGTTGGCCGCCAATTTCTGTGCAAAGAGGGATGACAAGTGGTCCTATCAGATCATGATTCTCCTTCAATTCGTCTTCTGCGGTTGGTGGAGCTCACTCCGAACGAATTGAAAATTTGCTGAATCGGATTCACAGCCATTCTGTTGGGCGTCTACCCATTCTTCCCAGACTCGCCATTCTACTTCCTCAAAAAAGGCGACACCGAGAAGGCTCGCAAATCGCTCAATCGGATCCATGGCAGCTCCGACCAGAGGCTGATCGAGGCCGAGCTCGCCAGAATTCAAGACGTGGTCACCGTCACACACGAGATGCAAGCGCTCGCTGGTGAGGGTGGCCCTCCCATGCTGCAATGTTTCAAGGGCAATAACTTGGTAAGCCCACCGAACGCCATCAAATTTGCCTTCTCCGACAATGCGCTGACTGTGATGCCAGAAACGAACTATGACCGCATGTTTGATGTCCGGCGCCCAGCAAGCTATTGGAGCGGGTTTTGTCCTGGGTTACGTTACATACTTCATGGAGCTTCTCCACGTATCCCACTACTTCACAGCGAACCTTGTACTCTATGTGGTAATGTTGATCTCAAATATCTCGGCCTTCTTTGTCATTGAGGCCGTCGGTCGACGGAAGGTTCTCGTTTACGGAATTTTTGGCTGCACTTTCGCGAACTTGGTGCGTCTATAATACATGCTTTGGCTACTATGATCATGTTCGTACTGACGAGGCGACAGCTTTTGGGTATTATGGGCTGCATCTCGGCCGCCGGCGCTATCTGGGCGATCCTTGTCAGCATTTTCCTCTGGGCCATTATCTACGAGATGACTGTTGGTGCGATTGGATTCGCACTGGCTTCAGAGGTGCCAACCGCAAGATTGAGGCCAGCAACCATGTCCTTGGTCGGCTTCACTCAAGGTGCAGTGTAAGTCTTTCCCGAAAAGCATGGATCGTATTTCCAGTAGCTAACATATAATAGTGGATGGCTTATTGGCTTCGTCAGCCCCTACATGATCAACCCCGATGCAGGAAACTTGGGCGCCAAGGTCGGCTTTGTTTTCTTCGGCCTGGGTGTACCTTTGAGTATCGCCTTCTACCTGCTCGTCCCCGAAACGAAGGGCCTCGGTTTCGACGATGTAATTGCTCCCAGTCCTTCTCTTAAGCTTGAAAAGCAGCTAACAGTCCACTAGCTCGACCATCTGTACAATAACAAGGTCAGCCCTCGGAAATTCCAAGAGGCCATTATGGTGGAACGAGAACGGGACACCGAATTCGGGAACATGGAACATGGCAAGGCGGACCGAGCAGTCGTGTGCCAGGTTGAGAAATGCGCGCCTCCTCTTGGACAAGGTCCGTGAGGCAATAACCCTGCCACTGTAGTCGACGGCGGGAGAAAGGAGAAGGAAGTCCAGCTGGATGAAGTCGTTTAGGTACATGATATCGAGCACGTAGACTGAGCGCCTCGAAGCAAAGGCTTTCAATCGTAGAAGAATGATCGATCTACCTGGCTAGTCCTGTTCGTTCTAACGTGCAAGTCTCCATTTCCTATGCTTCCTCGCTCGGTGTCCCGACAGACAGATTCGATTAAAATAGATTTGGATCTTACGTGCTTTCGCCGACGTGACATCGCCACGCTGTCATTGATAAGCCTGTGCTTATGGAGTCTACCCAAGTGCTGCTGATAGCGGCTCCTCGGTTGGCCCAAAATACTGGCTCACAAAGAAACCGAACCGACACTCGGAAGGCGTCGGGTCTAGCCCAGGACTCCACATGCAGTACTGGATCTCCGTGCCGATTAGTTTATCCTGGGTGGCTTATAGTGTCCCTTTTAGTGCTCTGGATGAATTTTTGAGTGTACAAGACCCTCCTTGTTGTTTATAGATATCAGAATTTTAGGCCTCACAACAAACCACTCGAGTCAAGATGTCATTGCCCATTCAGTACCCTGCTATCAGCGGCCCAGGACGGCTACTCGAGATCTGCTCGTTTCGCAAAAGTGATATTCTCGAGTCCAAGGTATGTACATCCCTAAGGCAGGATTGTGACAGACTGGCTAATGTGCCCAAGTTTCAGGAGATCTTCAGCGGCTTGATGCAAAAGATCAGCACTTTCGGGATAGCCAGGCAGAACTCATTTGGAACCAAGGAAGGAGACGAGCGCCAGGCCGTCCTCGTGGCCGACTGGACTTCTGCAGAGGACAAGGATGTCTTTGCAACCAGTAAGCGGAGCGCCCTCAAATTTGACAGGCTTTCAGGTGTTGATTCTGGGACCAGGCGAAGATTTTGAATCCGTGAAGCCTATCTTTGGGCAGATCATCAATGTCGAAGACGCAAAATGGGCATGGTAAGGTCATCTGAGAGATCTTTGAAACGAAATTGCAATGAAGCTGATGACAAATTGTAGCTCTCATCTGATCCTGCCTACAGGCTCAGCAAAGACACCTCAGTCGGCTCTTTACAGCATCTCACATTGGACTATACCCGTAGCAGAACAGGCCGGCTTCGCAAAGACTCTGGACAAGTCCATTCAGACCATTGACAAGGGCAGCTACGACTTCATTGTCGCAGGTGCCACGCGGGAAGACCCCGAGGTGATTATCGTGTTTGTGGGCTTCACCAGCGCGGGAGGTGCTGGGAACGTTGGAAGTCAACTCAGCGAGGCGACCAAGCCGTTTATCAAGAGCGCCACCACATATAATGTGAAGCTGGAAAAGCAGTACTAGAGCGCAATGGCAGACCAGAACCTTTCAGTAGCGCGAGCACAACAGATCATAGAATGCCTCTAGAAGAGGAGAGCGCACCCGCGCCACAGATAAAGTTGAGCATTAAAATCGCTAACTAGTTAACTATAATACGGAACCAACTAACTGATCTTGTAGAATATAGCGTCGTAGAGTCTAATCGTAATCCTTCTTTTATCTTAGAGATATATTTATGCCCACTATGGACTCGATTAACTTCGGTATATATGTCACGGTACCAACCATGGATCGAACCTCGGAGATCCGATCACGAAGGTTCTCCGATGACTGGACATTGTCTACTCGTCATTGTGAAAATCTCAGAAGGACGCGCAAGGCTCTACAGAGCCTCGAAGCGCGTGTTTACGACCACTGAAGCTCATACGACTCCTTCAGACACTTCTGCTACATTCGAATGGTTTCAGCTATCAAGAATGCTCCACTTGGAAAGGTATATACATCTTTCGAGCTCTTTGTCTCTCGTCTTGTACTTTACCGTGCATCAAGATAGCAATATCAAGGACTCCCCAACCCCCGGACCGTTTTGAACCCTGCCCCCGCCCCCTCTCAACCCCGAAACATTCTTCTCGCCCGTGTCCCGGATGGAGAAGAGAACACTTATAGGAACGAGGGGTTGAAAAGAGGGGATTTAGCGGCCGGGGCACGACAGCCTAGACCAGACTCTATTTTATGTTCTATAAGAGCATAATTCGAAGGGGAGCTTTTAGAGAGGACGAGGTACATCCGGCAGGAGAAAAGGGAAGGGTAGAACCTTAACCATAATCCTAGAAATCCGGGAATGAGCCATATACATCCACTGCGCCTAGCGTGCAAACATACCTACAGGGCAAATCGGGTCCAGCTAGATAAGGACGGCGTGAAGGGTGGGTTGAACGGTGAGTAGAAGGCGAGAAGATTGAGAGAGGAGGGCGAGTTGTGTGGTGATGGTTTTGAAAGCGGCACGTTCGCGGGTGATCCCCAAGTGACCGCCGAGCAGATTCTACTCTGCTTGAGCCGCCAAGGTTCAACGTTCCCGTTGACCGTCGGCAGTCCCAGACATCCCTGGCGTCAGCTATGTAAGCTTGTCGGTCTGCGGCAAGCTTAGTTTTGCCAAGTAGTCCATTTACAAGTTGCATTTCAAGGTTGACGCTCATTGGCGGACGTGATGTTGGCTTTTACTTGCTGGTACTGGTGTCCAGCGGCTCAAATGGCGAACATCCCTCGAGACCCGAACTCCGGAGAGCCTAGGCTGCTCCAATACTAGTGATAGTTCGGGGTTTGTAGACCATGGGGATACCTGACTCTTATCGTTGGGACTCGAAATCCCAGGATCAGTTATATAATGTGTGTCGTCCTCACCTTCCGTTCAGGAAACCGTCGCTCTACACGACGCAAAATATCCCAGGAATCCATCACCTGCGGTTTTCTCGAGAGACAATTTCAACTAGCAATTTGACACCTCACTGGGCGCCAGACCACCATTGCCTTAGACCGTCCTCACATTGACACAACAGACATAGGAGACCGGCCAACATGACAACTGAAAAGCCAAATGCTACCACTATGGATCTTGTCGAATATGGGTCAAAAGAGGCCCCACCGCCTGAGATCAATTATGCCGTCGAGAAACAGTTGGTCAGCAAGATTGACCGAGTTATCGTTCCTCTGGTGATGGTGACGTATCTCCTATGTTTCCTCGACAGAACCAACATTGGCAACGCTAGACTCTACGGACTCGAAAGGGACCTGCACCTATATGGAACACAGTATCAAACAGCAGTTGCCCTACTTTTCGTCACATATGTCCTGGTCGAGATTCCCAGTAACCTCTTGTTGAAGTATTTCACTCCGTCCAGATATATCGCCGTCCTGACCATTACTTGGGGCATCATTTCTACATTGACTGGAGTCGTTCAAAACTATGGAGGTCTCATTGCCTGCCGCCTTCTCCTTGGCTTGGTGGAAGGTGGTTTATTCCCTGGATTGACGATATACCTTACCATGTTCTACACTAAGGCTGAGCTTGCACTTCGCATTGGCTACCTCTTTGTCAGCTCTGCTATCGCTGGAGCTTGCGGAGGATTACTTGCCTACGGAATCGGCTATATGGACGGTCTTGCCGGGCAATCTGGCTGGCGCTGGGTTTTCATCATTGAAGGTATTGTTGGTGCGTGAGTACCTGCATTTCGGCGTCCTGACAGTGTATCATAGGCATCCCAACCGTGCTTTTTGGGTTCGCCATCTTTTTCCTCCTTCCAGACAGCCCAGCCACTGCATGGTGCCTCGACGAGGAAGAAAGGCAGCTCCTCATTGCCAGACTGCGACGTCAACCGGGTTTCCATGAGGAGCTCGATCGAAAGGACTCTCTCCTTGCATTCAAAGACTGGAAAGTCTGGGGATTTGCAGCTGGTCAGTTTGGCGTCAATGCTATGCTGTACAGCTATTCGATCTTCCTTCCAACCATTATAAAAGGTCAGTCCATACGCCTTTTCATTCTGCTCTCTATTGACGCATAAGCCTCAGGTCTTGGAAAGTGGTCCACTACACAAGCTCAAGCCTTGACTGTCCCGGTTTACGTTTGTGGCGCGATCTGTTACCTCCTCGTGGCACGACTGTCCGACGCTCACCAACTTCGTGGCCCTTACCAGATTGCAGCAGCCTCGACTAGTATTGTCGGCTATGGATTGCTCATTGCTCGGGTCGGCCCCGCGGTCCACTACTTTGCTACCTTTGTTATCTCACTGGGCTTGTTCGTGGCTGTCGGTATCCCACTGGCATGGCTTCCTTCGAACAACCCCAGATATGGTAAACGAACCACGGCGTCTGCCATTCAAATTTCTGTGTGTAATTGCTCCGGGATTTTAGCACCATTTGTAGGCAATCTTACCACCAAGGAGACTCAGTGAAACATTGCTGACACGTTGTCGCAGCTCTATCCCACCAAAGACGCACCGCACTACACTATGGGCTTCGCTGTCAACATCGCTTTGCTGGCTTCTGGCATTTTCTTTTACGGGTTCATGACGCTTTATCTCGGTTTTATCAACAAGCGACGCAGAGAAGGGAAGGAAGACTACAAGATCGTTGGAATGGGTGACGCTGAAATCGACGCTCTTGGTGATAGAAGCCCGAGATTCATGTACACGATCTAGAATCGCCCCGGCTGTGCGTGGAGCTTACAGAACAGAATAGAGGTTTAGTGTTCGGAGATCTGGTCTACTGGCGAGAGATTGTCTCAAAGGCTTCTGAGAAGACAACGACCAGGGCAGTCAGTATTCAGATCCTGGTGTTCACCGGCGAATCAGCGCCTGGCCTTGGCACCCATTTGGGACCGTATCCTGCCGCTTTACTTGAGCATTATGGGGATCCGGCTCAATCTCGGCTCAGCCTCGGTTTTGACCTACTTGGGACTGTGTAGGTACTCATTGCGCCACTATTTATTGATGAGTTAGGTCTCCGTATATGAGATCGCATGAGAGTTTTGAGACTTGTGAAGCCTCATCGAGATCTCTCGTCCCGTACTCACTGGTGCCTCATGGAGCAACAAATGGAGAGCGCGCCTCTGCCACTTCAACATGGAAGACAAGGAGCAAAGCTGAATGGACGGAAGTCGCAACATACACCGCCCCCAGCACAGCCGCAACGTACACTGCCCCCCAGCCTCACGGACAGAAAGAATTTTCACTTTTCAAACAAACGAGGGCCATCTCGGATATATTCTTGACTGTTGGTGCCTGTCGTTGCGCTGTTGGTATACCGTATACCGGTCAAGCCCTTCTATTTATCGGCATTGAGCCTCTCGACCGGCGCTGCTCGTCGTTCTGTGGCGTCCGAATGTCCATTGGACTAAATGGAAGCTATGGCAGCCGTTGGATTGGCTGGGAACATCCTCCAATTCATAGATTTCGCTGCAAAAATCGTCACCAAGGGACATCACATCTACAAATCCGCCGATGGCTCCCTAAGCGAGAACAATGACCTTGAGCTCATTACTAGCGATCTCGTGGTGCTTCAAACTAAACTGGAAAGGGCGCCGGACCGAAGCTCCGGTGCGGCCAGCCCCAACGAGGATGATGAAGCTGTTCGGACGCTGGCTGCAGCGTCCACCAAACTGGCGCAACAATTGCTGACACGACTAAACGCCGTGAAAGCACAAGGTCGTTTTCGGAGATGGAAGAGCTTGAGACAGGCTGTCAAGCAAGTCTGCTCCAAGGCCGAGGTCGATGATATGGCAAGACGTCTCTCGCAATTTCGCGGGGAACTCCAAACTCGCCTCGTTGTTTCGCTAAGGTACGCACGCCCGCGGTCCGAATACGAGCGAAGAACTGACGGGCGGCCAGAGATGAAGTCTCTGAGAGCCACAGGAAGCTTAATCAGCAAATTGTGACCATGGGTAACAAAATGGTTCAGTCTTTCGTCGCTCAGATGGATCACCATTCTCGTAATGATAATACATCTGTCAGTTCCCAGTCCGAACAACAAAGCTTGAACTCTGGCAAAGGCTCTGGTGCTTTGGGAGGGATCCTCAATGATGACCATCTGTTGCAAAACAATGAATCCGCCCTCAAAGCAGCGATCCTGTCAAGCTTTGAATATGCCGACATGGATTATCGGTACGAGGCAATTCCGGACGCTCACGCCAAAACTTTTCGCTGGATCCTGGAAGACAAAGACAATGAAGACATCCCGTGGGATAATTTTCTCCAGTGGGCGCGGAGCGACAATTCCTTGTATTGGATCTGCGGCAAGGCAGCTTCTGGCAAATCAACTCTGGTGAAGTTTCTCCTCCAGCAAGAGGTGGTCAATCACTCGCTCAATCAATGGACTACTTGCCGGAAATTGATCAAAGCAGACTTCTTCTTTTGGGCAATGGGTTCTCCGATGCAACGATCTCAGAAAGGGTTGTTGACTGCGCTCCTGCGAAAGATACTCGCCTAGTGTGAGGTCGAGCTCGTGAAGACCCTGCTGCCAGATCTGTGGCATCAGCTTGAGCCGCTCTCCCGCTTCAATCTGGCCCGTCTTCGGTCAGGGTGGAAGCCGTGGAGGTTATCCGAACTGATAAGCCTGCTTGAGAATATCCTACTCTCCCTGGGGAAGACCTCGCGTATTTGTCTTTTCGTGGACGGCCTTGACGAATTTGAAGGTGACCACGCCGAATTGGCCAGCACTTTCAGCCGGCTCGCGAAAATGCCAAACGTCAAGCTGTGCCTCTCAAGTCGACCCCTGGCCGCCATCGAATACGAATTCGCGGGATGTTCATCCCTGAAGCTGCAGGACCTGACCCGTGGCTGCATCCAATTGTACGTTCGCGAGAAGCTCACCGCTCACCGTCACTTCCAAACGTTGAAGCAAAACGAGCCGCTGCGGATTGGGAATCTCATCGACCGGATTGTGACCATGTCGTCAGGAGTGTTTCTTTGGGTTCATCTAGTGGTCAAGTCATTACTGGAAGGCCTCACGAACCACGACGACGCCGGCGATCTGGAGGCCCGGCTCATGGCTCTCCCTCCCGAGTTAGATGCGCTTTACAAGACCATGCTGCAGAGTATCAACCCTCAGTTTTACAGAACGCAGGCCTCAAAGCTGCTCCAAGTTGTCTATTCCATGAAGGGCACCATATCTAGCCTTGCCTTGTCATTCATCGATGACCCGGAATCTCCCACGCCCGCATCCAGCTGCCTGGACCCATTGCCAGTGGAAGTTGTCGACAGTCGGATCAAGCGTGTCGCAGACCGACTCAAGTCTCGGTGCAAAGGTCTTATTGAGGTCCAGTCCCTCGGGCACAGTCAGGTGCGTCCGCAAATGATCGATCATCCTCTGCGACCAGATCAAGTACAATATTTGCACCTTACGGTAAAAGAATTTCTCGAAAAGGCGGAAAACTGGAGGTTGATAATCGACTGGACAGCCAAAGCAGACTTTGACGCCAACACTGCCTGCTCTCGGGGCCTTCTAACCCTGGCGAGGCGGACCCTCAAGTTCCATGGCTGGGGGAGGCACATCGCCGCCCTGATCGATTCTGCACTCTCTTTTGCAAGGCAGGCAGAGGATAGTAGCGGGAAACCGGACCTTGCATTGTTTCAGGACCTTGATGACCTAGCAACCGCGATGTTTCCGCGTCGCAGGCTGCAACACTGGTCTTCGGACTTCACTGCATCGCACGTATTACTCTGCCAACAGAGTTGCCAATGTCCGGAGTCGAGCCTCGCGACCCACGCAGTATTCCAAGGGCTGACTTTGTATGTGGAGTCCATGTCCGGCGCTTCCGTGCGGCTTCTCAACTCCGAATCGACGGAGTTTCTCCTGAGCATCGCCACAGGCTCGAGTTTACAGGTCAAGGATATGAGATGGTTTGACATCAATGGGGAACTTCCTTTGAACATTCTACTTGCAGACATCGCCAGCGAGACGAATTCCTCCGACTATGAAGACCGCGACGTCCGTCCGCATTCTGCCATGATAAAGCTGCTCCTGGACAAGGGTCTGTCACCGAACGAGAGCCGCGGCCACCGATCGCCGTGGCGCGAACTGCTGGACCATGTGCGAGACATCTCGGCCACGAAACCATCACGCCTGGCCAAGTTCGTCGACGTGATCAGGCTCTTCATCCTCTTCGGGGCGGATCTGTTCTGCACTCTCCCAGGCAGAGAGAATCCCGCTGTGGAAGAAACAGCCGCCGAGGTGCTGCTCTCTGTTTTTCGGGAGCTACCTCGGTCAGCCACGCAGGATCTGTTTCAAATGGTGGTGGAAGGCCAACAATGCCAGACCGAGAAGCGAGATACAAGCATTCTCCCTGCCGTCGTGGTAGACGACCAGCCACTGGAAGATAGGATCACAGCGCCTTCAGTAAAGAAAAGGCGGAAAAGGAAACAACCGACCGCGAATTCAAGCAGGCGGCGACGCAGATTCTGAGTCGCCGAATCTATGCTCTGCGACGAAAGAATTGTGACTGGAAGTACCGATCCTCAGCCCCGTTGGATCATCGCATTCGCTGGGCTGGCAGGAATTTCGAAACATTACCGTGGTCGTATCACGGGGCCCAACCTGGGTGGTCGAGGCAGGTTAGATAGCTGCTAGAACGGGAATGGGTTCATAAATGACAGAGGAATATCGAGACTCGGGTGGCTTCATCACGTAGGACTTGTAAATTGGTGGATCCCAAAGATCGATTCTAACTTGGCGCTTCCACTTTTGTCCTCTATATCCCTTGGGGCTCACCTGATTCCACCTCGTTTGACCCTCCCAAAGAGTCGCCTCATAGACTCGGCTGTGGTTTATGGACCTCTGGCAATCCGAACAACCTACCGGCATCTTTCCAAGGAAAAGTCTTCTAGGTAACAGGCGCTCTTCTCTATCACCTTACCTTCTCCAAGCACCCTCTCAACTGTGCTTCAAAACTATACTCGGAGGCGGGAGGTAGACCTTTTCTACGCGTCCGCTATATAATTTCTCTTCTTACTCGCTGTCTCTGTCACTATGATATGTGCTAATCGTGACATCGAGCACTATACTATGCCTTTCCTCAAAGTCCAATAAATTACAGCCAGTCCAGTACCCCTTAAACAAGGACTTACGTCCACTCACTCCAACGGCCGCGGTATTGGAAGCTAGCTTGTGCTGACACCCCTTGATCTGATTCGCCAAAGCGGTGGACATCTTGCGGCCCTTCGGCTTCCCTGATATATCCTAGTTCACAAGAAGTGAACGCAACCCGGGGTTGTTCGTGATAAAAGTCATCAAACCGATAATGCAGCGCATCAATGAGAGTGTGGACGTGTCCATCGGGATGCAATACCTTCCAAGGGTTGCGACAGTCTTCCATCTTGCACGACTTGAGGACCATTAGAAGAGCATCCAAGCGGCTCACAACATGCTCAAAAGGTCTGTCCGCGAGCCGGTATGTGTCGAGAGAGCCGCTGCGAGCGTAATAGTTGTCGACCTGATAGGGATCCAGCTGTCGAGGGTCAATAAACTCATTCCAATACCTACCGAGCACGGTCTGCTCCGGACAATTCGTACCTTCATGTCATAGTACTCTTTCTCTCCCGTACACCATACCGAGTAGTAGAGGCTGTATTCTGACGAAAGGATCCGGACGGCCTTATACGTGTTGTTCAAGCCGTTCACACGACTTCCGCTGTGAGGATCGTATCCATCTCCGTACTTCCCCCACAAGCCTTCGGGAATTACATTGCCCCAGAACTCGACGTTGACGTGCTCGTGTGAGCGGACTTCAGCCTCTTTTGGTGAGAGTACAATGGGAGCGCCGTCAAAATCTCCACGGCTCGCCCCTGCAAGGCCCATTATGGTCGGAGCAAGGTCAGTGTGCGAAGTCACATGCTGCGACACTCGTCCACGAGGAATATCCGGTCCGCGAATGATAAGTGGTATATGAATGTCTGTGTCGAAACCACACTCTTTGCCGGGGTGAAGTCCTGTGACAAATTCACCATCAGTCTCCAACCAATCCATAACTGGCCAAGAACACCTACGGTGTTGAGATATATGATATCCATTGTCAGTGGTGTAGAAGATGTAAGTGTTGTCCAATAGGCCCTTGTCGTTGAGCATGGTGATTAGCTTCTCAATCATTTCGTCGACCGACTGTAGCGCACGTAATCTTGAACGTTGGAACTCGTCATTGTATTCAATCACAGTATCGTTGAGAAGTGGCAGGTCTTTCATCCACGACACACCGCTAAACTATAGGTTGTTAGAGACGGAACTCCGCCGGTTGCGTGAGACTGAATACGTACTGCTACTGGGTTAAAGTCTGGTGTTCTCGGAATCTTGTAGTCCTTGAACAAGTGGGCGTGTCTCGGTGCATATGCAGGGTGATCGATGCGGAAATCTTCATCGCCGAGGATACAGTCCGAATGGGGCGCAATTGGTGCCACGGTTAGCATCCAAGGATCTGGATGCGTAGTGGCCTCTTCCAGAAACGCGTACGCCTTTCCCGCCACGATGTCCGGGGAATACTGGCCTTTGTAACTGATAGGCGCGCCTCCGTTGCGGGACATCCAAGAGTTGTAGTATTGATAAGTGTAAGGGTCGAGCAAAAAGTCCGACCCGTTGAAACCTTGCACATACGGCGCATTGTAGTTGTCCACAGTATGAGCGTTCCAGAGTTTCCCTGAATAGTAAGTATTATATCCCGCCTCTTGCATCCAAACAGGGATATAATTCGAATTGATGCCTTCGCGAATGATTTTGGGATATCCACCTTTCGCAGTCAGTTCTATTTACCCTTTCAGTATGCGCTACTTACCATGCGGCGGAAAAATGTCCGTGACGTTCGTGTTGTGCGCCAGCCGTCCCGTCCACAGGTTAACGCGCGAAGGACAGCAGATGGCTACGGTGCAGAAATGGTTGTCGAACACTGTTCCTTCATTGACAAGATACTTCTGTAGAAAGGGCATGTGTTGCTGTTTACCTTGGTTAGCCACCATATACTATCGTATGAACGCTCGAAATGGAACCACGTCTTACATACCAATGATTCCATATGGTGGTCTTGATCATCGGTGAGAATGAAAAGAATGTTTGGTTTTTTGGCCACCTCGGCCAATATTGGTGAAGCTGCCAGAAGCCATATCAGCCACGTAACCACGATCGAAGCATTAGGATAACTCATAGTGGGACTAGCAGGAAATGCCGGCTCAGTAACGAGGAACAGAGCGTAATGAGCATATTTGCAATAACAAAATTCGGTAGCCTTGAATATTTATTACTTGGACATTTGATAGAGACCACGTCCATGCAACAAACATAGCGATGAGGTCAGTTTTGTTAAGGCGGGCTGGCAGCCTCTAGTTGGCACCAACGTCCTAAACGAAGGACCGGCCAGTCAGGAGCTTTGGGATCTTTCCAAGTGAACTACGCTAATGCACTGTCACGTAGCGTGAAACCAGATGGAAAAGAATGGCGGGGTTAATGCGGTGTCACGTAGTACATTTACCCCAGGCCTCCCCCAACTTTCTCGATCTCTCCATCCCTTCGACATTGGACTGATCTGATAATCCAGGAAGAAATTTCGGGGCAAGTGCCAGCATACAACTGAGTTCGGCAATCATCCTCCGATGGAGCCTTCGACACCCGAGGTAGGAAGCCCTGGCCGCGTGGATGATCAATCCGGTTCCCGAATGGCAGCTTCCACTCGGTCTGTCCTACACTACACGCCGACGCAGCTCTACCGGAAGCGGGCCTTCGACAGAAGAAACCAGCGCGAGTGCCGAGCTAGGAAAGAAGGACGAATCAAGTCTTTGGAAGAAGAGAATCGTGAGCTCAAATCCAGAATCACCGCGTTGCAATCCGACTTGCGGGAGATGACTACCGAGCGAGACGGGCTTCAAGAGCAATCTCGCAATGGACCTAGGCTCTGGCAGGTCCTTCCAGTCGCGATTCCCGCTGTCACAAGGCTCGACCATATCATGCATCATTTTCGCACGCGGAAACTCCCCGGGCTTTTTCAAATCCCCATGCAGGAAATCGCACGAGCAAAGTTTCCCAGTATTACCTCTCTGTTGAATGGCAAGTTCACTCAGGACACTCCGGTAGCGTCCATCGTTGGTGAACACGGGCCTTGGATGCAGATCACGTCTTCTGCAGCCAGAACTGCTGTGGGACCCACATTCGCAAGTGGTTTGATCGACTCTAACATTCGTCCCAGGTCCAGTACAACCTTTGCCTCTACTTCCGCGTAAGCCGAGGAATATCTGAGTATCATTGCCCTCCTAACCGAAACTAATAGTGGCTGCTATCTCCAACTGAGGTCAATTACTTGTCCTTGCCAGTCCACCTGCGACCGACAATACTGCAGATGACTACTCCACATCCTATGTGGATCGATATCATGCCCTGGTATATTCGTGCACTTGTATTGAATATACGCAAAAAATTGGGCTAACTAGCGGGCAGGCCTCAAGGACGAGACCAGCTAATCAAAAATATGCACTGGGAGGCTGAACAGGAGAGATTTCGCCTCCTCCACAATGAAACCCTGTCCGTCAATTGGTCATATCCGCTAGCCGACATCTTGGTAACCGACAGCAATAACGACATTGCACTTAACCCCTTGTTCGAAGCCCATATACGGAGAATTGAAAGCTATACCATTGGAAAGAAGTTAATCGACACCTTCCCATATATGGATTCAATCCCGACCCATATTGTATCACAGGGTGATTAACATCACGAGACTTTTTTCGAGTTCTAAAAGGTAGCGCTAAACTCATGGACCATCATCAATTGACAATTCTCAATGTACGTCTTCCGTATGTCAGGCTTGGGCAGAGAAGTTCCTTGCGCCCCATGATATATCTTGGACGACTTGGGACTTGGAGCATCAAGTTATAGAGCCGAGACGCTTTTCTTTTGAACAAATGCTGACAAAAAGGCACAGACCTGAAGCCACGAGCCCAATTACTGCGAGGTTTCAGCTAAATGAGTACAAGTACGGTGATTACCAAACTCACTGAAGACTCTTTGGAAGCTGGAGGCATATGCTGGAAGTACAAAGGTTCGAAGTGAACCGGGCAGATTTTGAAGATAAGACAGATCAGCCAGTAATTTTCGGATAATCTGTTGTCATCATTAGGAAAGAGAGCACAGGCAATTCATCATGGATGCTGGTGAACAACGAACCGTATCGCGATTTGGGATGTCTTGCAACGCTGAGCGGAGACCCCGGCTCAGAGATAGCTGGTAAACAGCATTCCCCAAGCTCACACCGGCAACCATTCCAACATTCGAGCTCAAGTACAGACCCGAGCCCGCTATGGCAATGTCTTCACCGTCAACCCCGTGACTCAAACCAATAAATATGGCTGAATGTGCAATACCGGTTGCGAATCCAATAGGGAAGATGATCAGTGCTTCGAGGAAGTCTGTCCGGCCATTCCAGAGAGAGATCAGTCCCAAGAACCCGCAGGCGGAACTGAGACTTCCGAATATCAGAGGAAATTTATATCGCCGTGTCCTAAAATGGTGTCAGCAAGGGGATCGTCAGTACCCTTCCGCAGATAAGAGTGCTCTAGATGCAGAAGCCTGTTGAACGCAAAGAGAAGTGGTGTTACCTTCCAATATACCAACCAGTCAAGAGACCACCGATGGTATTGCCAGCAGTGGACAACACAAGATATGATCCAGCTTCTCCCGTGCTTGCATGCTTAAACACCTGATAGTACATCGGAACAACAAACATCATCTATAGTGTGTTATTAGTTGTCCGTTCAATCAACAAGATGGAAATACTTACCGCCATGATGGCCAGATTCTGTAATGCCAACATCAGATAAGAGGTGCATACGACATAGTGTGTGATCAACCGGAGCGGGAAGATGGGCTCTGCCGCAAAGTACTTTTCTGTCACCAAGAAGCCGATAGAACAGATCGCAGCGGTGCATCCCGCTCCGATAACAACTGGATGATCCCAGGGAAGCTTTTGTCCTCCGAGGTCAAGGACAGCCAGCGCACCGAGGATTGTAGAGCTCAAAAGGAAGGCACCTGCAAAGTCGATCCTCTTAAGCTTCTGCCGCAGACCACTTCCAGAGTTCTTTTCTCCTGGGTGGAGCTGCAATTTGAATTCGACAAGCAACACTCCCATAAGCACCAAAGGACACTGCAACAGAAAGGGCCTAGATGATCAATGTTAGAAAAAGTCTGGTACCGAAAGAGAAAAGGAGTCCGAAATTACCAGCGCCATCCCAAGGTCTGTGCCATGATACCACCGATAACAGCACCACAGCTTCTCCCACTGGTCTGAACAACATTCACATAGCTTCGATACACAGCGACCTTATGAAGTGGCACCAAATCCGTGAGGAGAATTGAGACCATACAGACCATTCCTGCTCCGCCGCAGCCCTCAAGAGCCCTCGACGCGATGATCTGAGGCATCGACTGAGCGAGCCCAGAACATAATGTTCCTGTGGCAAAGAGGATATACGAGGCCTGCAAGCACCTCTTTCTGCCAAAAATGTCACTGAGCTTTCCATACTGTTTGGGCGGTTAGTCAGTGGCTGGATAGTAAGCATGGTTCAAAAACTCACCAACGGCTGAGCAGCAGATTGTGCTAGCATATAGCTGGTCAACAGCCATCCACCTTGATCCAGGGCCTGAAACTCGGAAGATATCTTGCCATAAGTCGCGAGCACCAAGCAGACATCTGCTTGCGACACAAAAACGCCTGGGAAGCATGAGAAATCTTCTGTAGGGCAAGCCACATCGTCGACGACCTACCAATCAACAAAACAGATATAATACCAACGACGGAATTTCCTCCAGATTCTTCCAAATCCCTTCGACTGGCATTAACAACGGGCGTAATGTCGTTTGCGTCCTGCGAAGCAGAGGCGTTTAGCAGAGGAGTGGTCTCTTCCACATTTTCGGCGGTGGCTTGGTTCTTAATGCCGCGGTCGAACATGTTGGATATTAGCAATCTTTGCTATATGGAAAATTGAACCGGAGGAACAAGATGGGATCGACAGGTAGCCTTGATATCATACCCATGCTATCGACAAGCACTGAAATATACAAAGCTATTGCGATTATATAGTCGCCTAGAACGCACTCAATATCGGGTGTAACAGGTTGTCGATACCTAACCTGCTTAGGATCTGCTATTCGGAGCGTTAACTAACTCCCCCAGCGACAATCAACTCAAGCAACATGGCTGATAAACCAGGCACACGAGCAGTACCTCGGGTATTTCACCCTGAGTGGGTATGAAACAGCCAGGAGACTGGGGGGTCTTTGCGTACTACGTGACAGTGCATTAGCCCGGAACTACGTGACCGTGCATTGTTTAGCGCCGAGTCCAACAGCTCTACGCTGCTGAGGCTTCGGCTCTGATGAGGCTTTACTCCAAAACACCTCCAGTTTCCCCGCGTTCTTTTTCTTCCACGTTCTCGCAACACCACTGACGGCGATGAGAACAAGCCATCGGAACCTCACAAAACCCCGCGACCCCGGACACCGTCTGGGGGGCTAGACCACGATCTCAACAACTTCATCTACTCTTTCCTCGTATTTTCGAATGTATAGATAAACAAGGTCGTCGCCCTTTCCTTACTCTCCAGAGCCCGTCTTTCAAGAGCATCTACGAACACAATACAACTGGCAACCTGACGATTCACTTCCAACTTCACAATGCTTTCTAATTCCAGATGGCGTGATGTCACGCCGTACCTACTGTACTGCACCTTCTTCTTCGCTTGGGGAGACATGCTCTTCGGACTAGACACTGGATCCTTTGCATCCATCCAATCTCTTCCGTCGTTTCTGTCCGAGTTTGGGGACCGAACGCCCAAAGGAACCTATGCCCTACCGACTTCTCGGAAATCGATCATGAATTCCAGTAACAAATCCCCTTTCCCTCTGGCTCCCGCCCCGTCCTGTTACTGACGCGTCAAGTACAGTCGTGTTTTCGGGGAAGCTTCTTGGAACAATGTCTTTTGAGCCCATGGTGGAGAGGATTGGGTATAAATGGACCATCTATGTTGTCTGCGCAATGCAATCTGTTGCCGTCATCAGTGAGTGAGCTACAACGCTGTCCAATGTGTCGACATCGGATAGCCCACAGAAAAAGAGAGTTGTTGACTCGAGGACGATAGTCCAAATGACTTCCCACGAATGGGTCCAATTCACCATTGGACGCATTATCGCATACTGTGGTGTTGGACTCGTGGAAAACGCCGTCCCATCGTATCAAGCCGAGATCGCGCCAGCCTCTCTTCGAGGATTCATTTCTGGCAGCCTCATTTGCCTTGCGACTCTGGGAGCTATGTGGGGTGCAGGAATGGGCCAAGCCATGTCTGGATACACCACACGGGCAGGGTGGCTTATTCCAGTTGGTGTTCAGCTCATCCCGGCCGTCATTCTCCTGCTAAGTGTTCCTTTCACAGTCGGTAAGCATCAAGAAGCTTGGCCCAGTAGGCTTGAGAATCTTGGCTGCTAACAACGATGCCCACAGAATCACCGCGTTGGCTTGTCCTCCACAATAAGAAAGAACGGGCCTTGCAAAATCTGAACCGGCTTCGGCCCAAGAACATGGTGGAGAACGGAGCGACAGCCGCCGAGATCGATGCCATCGACTATGCCATCGAGTCCAGTCATGCCGAAAAGCAGGGGTCCTGGCTTGATCTATTCCGCGGCACATACCTGAGGCGGACAATCATATGCTCGCTCCTTTTTTGGTTCCATGAAAGCACCGGTCAGCAATTCGTCAACTCGTACGGTCCAACGTTCTTTAAACAGATCGGCCTCGGATCCGCCGCCTTCACTTACTCGCTCGTAGCACAAGCATGTGGGGTGGCAGGCGCTCTCATTTGCATCCTCGTTGTCGACCGGGTTGGTCGCCGACCGATACTCATTACCGGACAGGCCTTGGCCGCTCTGTTCAATTTCCTTGTCGCTGGTTACGGGTCGAAACTTCACCCGACTACAGCGCAGGGCAACCTGGTGATCGCTTCCATCATTCTTCTCTTTACCGCCTGCAAGTTCTCAGTCAACACGCTGGCATTCTTGGCGGTTGCCGAGATTGGGGGTGTCAAAATGAGGAAGAAGAGTAAGTGACCAGTCCCACGCCCAGCAAATTTGCCTTCCAATACATACCGTGCTAATGCCTCTGCTAAGTCTTGAGTTTCGCTACCTCGGTCGACGTGCTATCTGCCTTCATCGTCACATTCTGCATCCCATACCTCCTAGGCAGCCCTGGGGCGAATCTCGGTCCCAAGCTCGGCTGGCTTCTTGGAGGCGATTCGATCCTCGCGGTTATATTCGCCGTCTTTTTCTTCCCCGAGCTAGCCGGCCGGTCTCTCGAGGAGGTGGACGAGCTCTTTGAGGCCCGCCTGTGGGCTTGGCAGTTCAAGTTTTACGAAACCAGTGGCATTGGTCGTCGGATTGCTGTGCTTGAGGAACACAACACAAATGAAGAAAAGGTCATCATGGTAAGTGGAACTGAGAGTGGACAAGGTCGTCCTGCTTATAACTTTTCAAGGTCGAGCAACTTGAGAATGTGGACAACAATAACAAAATTCCGGATACGGGGGCTTGAACACGATTTTCCGACGCGACATTTCGGGGAAGATGAGACATGTATATAGCGCAGATGAGCCTCCGTAGGGGAGTCCATAGCTGGTGGAAACAGACAGCAGCTTGTAAACAGACTGTGGGCATTTTCAAAATTGGAAGCATTGAAAATCGGGAGGCTTTTCTGCAACCTTTCTACCTCTCTACTTCGTCTTCCTCGATTCGCCTGCCGTTTTGGCATATTGAGAGGCCATTTGCCCGATCCCGCCAGCATCGATAACAGCGTACTAACTTCCAGGGTTGAGACACTTAGATATGTTCTAACGGGGCAAGATTCTGTAGACCAAACATCAACTCTTTTTTGAGGTTCCAGTCAGCTTGAGATAGGGGTCTGAGACATTTGGCAAGGAGAAACGCCAGAAGTGAGGGAATACAATTAGGTTCAAACTTGTGCCAGCACAGTGGAAGCTCGGAAAGACAGTCTCGGCGGTTTTCCTCTATGGAGATGAATAGTACTGATATCAACATAGCGAGTTGCAGCAACCGCCAAAAAAACAGCCACTTCATTTGATATGTCACAACCGACCTTTCAACGAGGTCGTATTGCCACCGAATGCAATCATTTTCATAGACAAATATTCTTCGATACCATACCTGCTTCCCTCACGTCCAAAACCGCTTGACTTGACGCCTCCAAAGCTTTTACATCGATCAGTATGACATAGCGTATGACAGAGAACGATTCACTTACGGGGTTGCCGGGTCACTGATCACTCCAGTGTTGACACCGACCATGCCAACTTCCAACGCCTTTGCCACGCGCCAGACACGGTGAACATCTTTACTGAAAAAATACCCGGCGAGGCCAACCTCGGTGTCGTTCGACCGTCGAATGACCTCTTCTTCCGTTTTGAATCGAAAGACCGCCGCGACCGGTCCGAAGGTCTCTTCTGAAGCAAGCTGCATTGAATCGTCCATGTCCGACAAGACGGTGGGCAAGAAGAAATTCGATCCTAGGTGTGGGAGTCGCGATCCGCCGGCCAGCACTTTGGCGCCTTTTGAGACAGCGTCTTTGACGTGTCTTTCGACTTTTTGCAGCGCAGCTTGGTGGATTAACGGGCCGTGAGTGACTCCCGAAGTCGTGAGGCTGTTGCCCACCACGAATTCGCTGCGCACCCTCGCAGCGAGCTTCGCAGCAAAGATATCGTACACGGATTCGTGCACGAACATTCGGTTGGGGCAGACGCACGTTTGGCCCGACGCGCGAAATTTGCTGGAGATCGCGCCTGCGACCGCAGCGTCAATGTCGGCATCCTCGAACACGATAAAGGGCGCATTTCCGCCGAGCTCGAGAGAGATCTTCTTGAGCGTCGTTTCGGCGCATTGCTGCATCAAGATTTTCCCGACGCGAGTCGAACCCGTGAAAGAGATCTTGCGAACCAAGGGGGAGGATGTCAACGCGCGGCCGACTTTAACCGTGTTGGAAAGTGCTGTGACGACATTGACCAACCCGTGTGGGATCCCTGCGCGGTGAGCCAGCTCTACCATTGCGTTTATAGTGAATGGTGTTTCACCGGGCGATTTGATCACGACGGAGCAGCCACCTGCCAGTGCAGCCCCGGCTTTTCTGGTAACCATCGCGGCAGGAAAGTTCCACCTAGGTTTTATCAGCGTGTTGGCGCAGACAACACGAGATGAAGAACTTACGGTGTGATCAGACCGCACACTCCCACCGGCTCTCTGATGGTAAGCACCTGGTTCCCCGCAACAGTGGCTGGTATAACATCGCCATAGATTCGTGGTGCTTCGTCACTGAACCACTCCAAGAAGCTCGCGGCGTACTCCACCTCGATCTTTGCGTCCGACAAGGCCTTTCCATTTTCCAGGGTAATGAGTGTAGCCAAGTCATCAGCATTCTCTGTCACGAGGTCGTACCACCGTCGAAGAAGTCGTGCCTTTTGTCGCGCCGAAGTATTACGAAATGATTGGAAAGCTTCTCTCGCGGCATCAATTGCTGCGTCTGTCTCCTTCTTCGACATCTCAGGGCAGAAACCTAGCACCTCGTCCGTTGCTGGATCTGCGCATTTTGGAGTTAGCCCAGACATCGCAGCATCAAGATTTGCATACTTTGCACTTTGAAAGACTGCCCCGATGTGGCCGGCACCCACTCGCCATCGATATATGCATTTTCCTTGAATAGTGAAGGGTCCCTCAGCTAAGACGGTTATCATCAGCTACTTTGTCGCCATGGATTGGTCGATTTGCATCCGACCTTGGTTCGCACTGGATGAGCCATATCGCTTCCGGCGCTATGGAACACACCTGGCTTTGATAGAATGATGTATTTTCATTCAAGCATTTGTATATGAATCATCAAAGTTTATAAATGCAAACGCGCATGAACACCCAGTCCGAACAAGTCTATACAGACTCGGGGAGATAGGGATCTGGGTTCGGGCCAAGCCTGCCTTAATTGGCGGGTGGTGATGTACGAGGCGAGGCCTGCCTCGGCCGCAATTCTGACTGGAATCGTCGGAGATAGGAAACTCTTCTGCACATCAATTTCTAACCCCATTGATAAGCATGTCAACTCTGCTTCTTGTCGTTGTTGGCGCACAGAGGTTATCCGCTGCTGGCGAGGCGACATGCGATGGGGGTGAAAGGTCCAAAATGCCACTCCTAGCGCTGCCGTCAACAGAGAACAATCGGGCTCGCCTTCTCGCCCCTCCCATCTCAGAATATTTGTAACATGGCAAAACTCGTAGGTTTTTGGGACTGCCAATGGTGTTCATTGGACATACGCGGAGGATGGCGGGGGCTAATGGCCTGCCCGCAGTCTCTTGCCTCCATTATTTGATCGACCGAAGAGGACAATGGGTGTCGATGTGCTGTCGTGTGCAATTATCCTTCTTCAAAGAACAGTGAACGGTCTGGAATCATGCGTCAAGCCATGGTGTATGAAGAGCGACCGCGACAAGCTCAGGGTTTGGGCCAACTGATGGGGCTAGAGGCTGGAACCAAGGGCTATCGAGCTCAAAGGCGGGATGGCATATTTGAGTCTCTCCTTATAGGAGTGAAAGGCCATCGCATCTAATAGTGCCAAAGGGGTAATTACGGTCCAATGCAGGTTGCAGGGAAATTTTCCGCCAGCGGTTGCCTCCGTCGGTGCTTTTGCTTGGAGAGAGGCTGAGAGGCTTCCGCCAATGCCAAGCACGCTAAGCCAACATCCCGCTAGTCTTGCCCGTCTCCACCAATGGGAAGATCAGCGCCAAGCCTCGTGTTCGTGTCCGTGTTTCGTGTTCTCAGCATCTTCGATCGCGTGCCGGCTCGGTCTTCAACCTTTGACCTTCGTATTCCCTTCGTCTGATGCGAATTTTTTTCATTATCACACAACCCTCAATCCATAGATTTCCGCGAACGGTGCATCTCGAGCTTCCCAGTACTTAGAAGACCTGCAATCTGCCACTCGTGTTCTTTCGTCTCCCAGGGTTCTACTCTAGGCAGCAAGAAGCCGAGACCATTAATCTTCCACATCCTCTCTTGGGCGTTAACCCAGCTCCGTGGTATTGCTTTGACTGTGGAATGGGAATTTTGAGTCAAGATGGCTCCTCGTAGAACACACCGTAAATCTAAACGAGGCTGTTCGGAATGCAAGCGCCGACACATCAAGGTACGGGTCTTGACAAATCCCCGGTGGTGCGCGTCTTATTAAGCTTACTGGAGAGAGATTGTCTAACCATGAACGTTGAACGAGCAGTGTGATGAGACACGTCCTATTTGCGTGAACTGCACCACCTCCAAACGAACATGCAGGTGGGAATTCGATGTCAGGGCCCCGACGACGACCCAGATCGAGCCAACGAGGGCTCAAAGCACCCCGACTGCTCCCCAGCTACCTGCTGACGGCGGACGTCTGACACCCGTTGTCAGTGCAGGTTCTTACACGGCTGGGGGCTCACCACTCGCGCTCTTTAGCCAAGGACGGGCTGACTCCATCGTCAACATTGACCACCTGGAACTCTTGCATCACTTCTACACAGACACATGCAGGACCGTAGTCCGCACGCAGGATCAGATTGAGCTGTACAGCAAACTCGTCATCGCTCAGGGCATTGCCAATCCTTTCCTAATGCACGAGATCCTGGCCATCTCCGCCATTCATATCGGCATCCTCCGTCCTCAGCGGCGAGAGTACTACCACTCACTGGCGACATCTCTCCAATCGAAAGCATTAGCCGACTTCAACGAGATCCTGTCACGGATTGATGCCACCAGCTGCTTGCCCGTCCTACTATTCTCCCACCTAATCGGGCTTCACACATTCCACGACATCTTCAACGCCCTCAAGGACGATTTCAACACCTTTATGGATGGTCTGGTCGGCTGCGTCAGGCTACTCCGGGGTGTCAACTTGGTGACCCAAACGTGGCGGGACGTTCTACTCCAGTCCGAGTTGGGTGACATCATGAGAGAAGCCGATCAGGCACATTGTAGCGAGAAACCCTCCCATGGCGAATGCTCCCCACTGCGGGATCTGATTGATGCTGCCGACCTGAGCTTGTCATCCAAGGAAGTCTGCAGGGAAGCTCTGGACAAACTACAAGAATACTTCGACGTTGAGAATGTATATCCTGGGGATCCCTTGGCCACGACCAATGTCATCTTCGCTTGGTTCGTCACCGCGTCTTCGGAATACACGGAACTGATGGATCAGCGACGGCCCGAGGCTTTGATCCTTCTTGCTTACTACGCAGTACTACTCCACCGGCGCCGTAAGTCGTGGGTCGTGGGCGACGCAGGCCAGCGCCTCCTCACGTCCATCACCACGCATCTCGGCAGGCGCTGGGAGGCTTGGCTAACCTGGCCCCAGAACTCTCTCACATTTGGTACGAGCTCGAATACTCCAATATCAGCCGCTTAGGCATGGTCCCTCATCGCAAGATCTACCTTTATTCAAATCATAAGATCCTGTGAAACCGATGGTCGATACTCTAGTGCCTCCAGAAAGTGCTATGCTATGCCAGGATGAAGACCGCTTGCTGCTGTCACTGTGTCAGACTAGCGAGTACTGATTCAAATTCCCAAGGAAACGAGCGGAGCCACAATATTTAAGCCTGAAGAACAAATCGGGGAGTGCTGTACGTGATCAAACAGCTTGCTGTGAGCATGGAGCCTCTGGATGATCTGCACTGGTAACCACTTCGTACGATTCGCTTCATTTTACTTGGGAGGGGACAGGAGGATGGCGGACAAAGCCCCTGAATATCTTGCATATGGAAAGACGAGGATCCGATGGACCGAGATGGGCGGTTTCCAACAATGCTCTTGTGTTCGCCTTATACGTGTACCTGATGTCCATGCGACTGGCCAGAAGGGCGATGTTGGATCAAGCATAGTGGCCGACGATTGGCGACGAGAAAAAGACATTTGGCACCCGTCATATCAGAACACGAGTGGAGTTGACGCCGAAGGTTTCCATTGCCGACGCAGCGGCCAAGGGGGGTTCCAACCCGATAGAACGGCCCCAGATCGTATAGATCACGCGTATTCGTGTCTGCGTCGCCAAGAAAAAGGCTGCTTGACTAAAGTCGTATGGCTTTGTCAACAAGCCATTCTACGAGGTTGTCCAGGTTATGGTTGCTCTGAGTCTCTGACACCTTGGAGTCTTAGTACACTTCAGCCTCGTGAGAAATGTTGCTGCCTAGATACCGGCTCCAAGGAATTCGACAAACTTGATGTACAAACTGGTGGAACCAGGCGTTGCAATTTTGGAGCCTCGATGCAACGACATAACGTGTCCCACTCAACACTTACCCGCCAGTTAGGGCTGGACTTCTCGTCGTTGCTGGGATGCATCTGCCAGTTGTGTCCATCCCAACGCTCTATTTATGACAACTGATTCTCCATACCCGGATCAAGTAAGTTAGCCCTCTGGTTTTGACTTTCGAGGATAGGGATAGAAGAAAAAAGTGTAAACATGCCTTGCCGCAATTTGCTGGCCCTGAAACCGAAGATAGGGATATCAACATCATAGGCACCCCGTCCTGGGACATCCATATCCTTCGCACGTATAAGAGGCATTCCTCGTCCTCACTCCTGACTATTACAGAAATCCTGAATATTTCGATCCTTCGCAGCCACCCCCTGAACCGACGGGATCACCGCTGCTCACGGCACTCCCACCTCAAGAAGCGGCACGGCATCATATCCTCTCAATCACATAGAAACGGTCCTTCGGTAAAGGTCAAGAACTACAACGAGAATACGACGTCGGCAAAATCATGGCCTTCTTCGACCCCAAATACAAGCTCAAAGTGCACGTTCTACAAATCATCCTCATCCATGTTGTCATGGGCGTGTCCGCGCCGCAACTGTTCCTGAAAGGCCAGCCGCGAACACGAGCCAACACTATCGCCTTGGGCATGGTGAGTCTCTTTTTGCTTTCAAAGCTTTCGACAACCTGATTTTGCATCGGGGAACTGCGACATTGACCTATGGATGGGCATAGAGCGGCAAATCCATGATCATCATCTCGTACCAGATTTTAACGGAGCATCGTGAGCGGTTCAGTCGGTGGAGATCTTACAAGGCCTACGCCATCCTCAACGGCCTCGAGATTGTGTTCTGGGCCGCGGTCGTTTTCTTGATCCTCCAGGCCAACCTCCAGTCGTGTGTGGGCGTTTCCTGTACGCTCAGGTGGATAGCCGTGGTCGTGTCGATTGTTATCACGTATGTTTCTTTTCTCCTGCCTTTTGCACCCACTCATTTGCCCAAATCTCTCCTCATAATATCGTTCAGTCATGACTGCCATGACCCCAAATACTTGACATTTCCGTCTGTCCTGAGCGCCAGGCGGGGCGGAATAGGAAGGCCAAAATGCTGACGTAGATGTCCTTCCCACAGTGTCGTCGCTGTGTACATGTTCATCATCTCGTACGTGGACTTCCGAGCCCATCGCATGCAGAGGGAGCACAAGCGCAGCCGAAGAATCATGAGCGCCGACGTCGAGCATGGCCAACCCATGGACCAACTGCATCTCAAGAGCGCCCGCGTCAGTCAGCCAGAAGCACCCCATATGCACACACCTCGCCACCACAGTAGGGACCACAGCAGGTCTCACGCCCCCAGCCGCGGAACGCAGCAACGCTCCCACAGAAGTAGTGTGTCCCGGGGATTCTCAGGTGACCATCGGCCACGGAGACACAGTACCTCTCGCAGCAACAGCCGGGGAAAGGAGCAACATTCCCGCGGCAACAGCAGACCGCGGCGATACTCGGGGGAGCACGATTCCCGGAG